GCCTTCAGTGATCTGATTAGTTAAAGCTTTCATACACGTCCAATCGCAGGGCTGTTTACAAACGGAAAACGGAGAGACTGTTCGGGAGAGCTCGTGAAAACTCGACGATAAGGTACCTGGCCGCCCCTAAAATTTTCTCAACGGATTTAGACGATTCACAAAAATGATCAATTTAAGAAATAAAACGGCGGATTTCCGCGGATCCGCGGAAAAATGCCATGTATGTCAAAGTCATTCATCCATTTTCTCTATTTATTCTAAATAAATAAATCTGAAATCTCTGTACAGTAAGAAGATACCTGATTGGCATCGGCATAGTATTGGCACTCGTCGCCATCTTGGTGCAGCTCGTTCTCCGGCCCGAGCCTCCGCCTCCGAGCGCCACACCGCCGATCGACATCTTCCTCAGGCAGCTGGAAAAAGTCGAGACTCGCTTCCATCGCCAGCGCCCCGAGCTGTGGATCCGCAGCCGGATCCACCTGAAGAGGCACCTCCTGACGCAACGGCCCAGCGAGCCCGTCAGTCTGATCCTGACGGCGGGGGTAGCGGGCCGCCGGACGTTGCGATGCCTGGCCCGCGACCTGGCCTCCGCCTTCTCCTCCGCCCTCAACGCCTCCGTGCTGCACATCGACGGCGCCAGTAAAGTCGGAGAGGATAGCGACCAGGTGAAGCTGGACATCGACGGCCAGCTGCAGGTCGCCTTTGAAGGGGACAAACCCGTGGCGGTGATTCACCGCTTCGAGCAGCTGCCCCCGGGCTCCACCCTCATCTTCTATCGCTACTGCGACCACGAGAACGCGGCGTACAAGAAGACCTTCCTCATCTTCACCGTGCTGCTGGAGGGAGAGGAGGAGATACCAGCCGGGACTTCTTTGAGCGCCGTGGAGGAGATGGTTGACGACCACCTCCAGAGGAAGTTCCTCTCGCACGGCCGTCCTCTGGCCTTCGACAGGATGGACCTGGACAAGTACGGCGGACTGTGGAGCCGCATTTCGCACCTCATCCTTCCTGTTGCCACGGAGGCGTGGACGGAGCGTGAAAGCTGCTCGTGACCATTCGGATTATCTTTTACTGCCTCTTTGAGGTTGGTGGCGGATTTTCGACAAATTTGCTGAACAGTTGTTGGACGGTGATCAAGTCTTGCGTATCAACCCCTATGTGTTACTAAGGAAATGAAGGACATTTTTTATTTTAAATAAATCAAAGTTTTAAAAATGTATCATGAAAATCAGTTCTATATCTTGCCTCGCTTCATAAAAACCAACCAAAATAAATTTAAATTTGAAAATAAATGTACATCGTGTAATCCTACACATAAAGATAGTCTTACAAAATCCAAACTGGACATTTAATATATAATACAAACGTATAGCTAAATTAAGTCACCGCTCACAACAGCAAAATCAAATTTTACCAATTTTAAAGAGATTTATTACTTTTTTTTTTAATGACCATGTGTAATTCTCTGATCACTAACTGCTTTCAGCATCGAGATACACAACACTATTTGAACCGAGTGTCTGTTTTCTGCAATACTGATTCATACTGTACACGTGCCTTCAATCGAATAAAGACAATTCTGAGGCCTATTCGTTTCATTGCAGTATATGCCAGTGCCCTATAGAGGGCAGCATTTAGCAACGCCACAGTTGAAAGCGGAGTTGGGGGAAAAAAAAAGTTGAAACGTGTATGTGACAGTAAAATAATTAATGCTTATTATGTATTCGTTTACCAATGATTGCATAAAATGATTAAATTTGAATGTCAATATTGTCCATTTTACACAAATCTTATTTTTGTATTTAAAATAAACACATTTTAAATTGGAATTTTAGCATTTGCAATAAATGCAACAATTTAAATCTTTCTTTTAATCAGCAATTCGTCCTATTTTTATCATACCATATGTAATTGATTTAATGATAATCAACATTTAATCAAACGTGAAATGTAGATGTAAATTGGTTTATCAAATGTATTATTAACAATAAATCAACCAGCAAATTATTTACCGAGTTTAAAAAAATACAAATGAATAAATACATACGAACAAACATTAGGATACATTCACAAAATTAACGCAACGAATGCTGGACAGGCCACACTTTGCCACACCACTGCTTGAAACGATTAACGGTGCAACAGGCTGCCGCTTTGACGTCACAGGCACTGGACGGCCAATCCAATACGACCCGAGGGGTGAAAACTATAGAATCGTTTAAAGCGACGTCGATATGCACTGCATCCTTTTGGGAGCTTTTTCTGAATATTTTGAATGAAGTGGCGTGACACACATGTATTGCCTGAGACTTACTTTCCCGATGCCGTTGCATTGCGAGTGGAACTCCTCCTCACTCCTTCCATCAAGGCCCGCCTCCTGTCGCCACTCACACAACTTTCACACGCACACTCACCCTGCCTCCACTCTCCATCAGTGCATTGACATCATGGCCTCTTAGAGCCTCATCTCCAAGAGTCTGGACCCGCCATGAGGAGCCCAAGGACTTTTCTCAGTTGCTAATTTCAACATTCTCCAACTTTTTTTTTTTCCTCCCTTCTTTCTCTCTCTCATCGCCATCCAGAAGGACTACAGTATTGGCAGCATGTTTAAGTGGTGCGTCGTCGTGATCTTGGTGCACTGTGCGCTTGTTGCGCGCGGGCTCACCGTGCCGCCAAAGATGGTGGCTGCTGCAGACTCCGGGCTGCAAAATGACACGGGGACAGGGCAAAGTGCCAACAAGCTGCAGGAGATGACACATGACGGGCAAAACACCCTCTCCGAGGTAACGTGTGCACTCATGATGATGCATCATACAGTTCGGTCCAGATGGATTTTTGGCTTTATACACCACCGCAATGGATTTTAAAATGGAACAGTCGATATATGATTGATATGTGACACGGTATGTTCATGAAGTCGTCAGCTTTTTGGGGTTTTTCTTTTTCATTTAAAGTAATGACTGTAACACTCATTTCAAGCAGCCTTTTCAGGGTAGTATTGACAAGATGTTACTTTCTCTTGTTACAAAGCCAAGTCGATGCAATTCTGTTGATAGCTGACTGGAGCTACCGATATAAATTCCAACTAAGATTTCAATTGTAAACGTCCAATCCAGTGACACCTTCAAGACGACTGCTGGTAACATCCAAGAATCAAATCAAGACAGAAAACAGAAATCTAAGAGTAACCATCACAACGATGCCAAGTGTGGCAATGAAGCAAAGGAAGAGTCTGTAATCCAAAGCATACCACATCAAGTGTCAAACATTGTAGGTCAGCCTGTCTGGCTGCTAATGGAACACGCTCACTTGTGTTTATTGATGATCGAAATGCCTCAGAGAAGTAATGAGATGGATTGTGAGGCATATTTAAAAAAAAGAAAAAGTGAATTCCGGCACCTGTGTGAGGTGGGTCAAAAAAGTCTCACAGAGGATATATTTCAAATCCAAAGAACAACTTTCCCTCTTTGGTAACCAGCTCCACCTCAAATTTCTCCAGTTGGCTCAAAGTGCTGTTCCTTACCTCTTAACTGTAACACGAAAGAGGGAGCATATAACTCCGATTCTGGCTGCCTGTTGACTTCATTCAAAATTCATTGATTTGTTTTTAAATCTTGAAATGGTCTCACTCCGCCTTACTGAGTTGCGCTATCCCTACGCTCCTGCTGAGTTTCTTCTCAAGGTCTAAGCGGAAACTTAGCGAGACTAAGATTTTATTCTGTTGCCGATCCCGTGCTTTGAAATAACCTCGCTCTACACACTGGACAACGTTCTAAAATGTTCTTTATCAAAACCATTTCTTCAGCTCCATGCAAGACTCTGCATTATATGCTTCATCATTTTATATTTTATGTTTGCGGATTCGTTGAGCTGAGTCAGGGAGATTTGAGGTGAGATGTTCTACAATGAATGGCTTTTAGAAGAAAAACCCTGTCGAATGAAAGCTGACAGTACACACTTCACTGACATACTGATGTACTTACTGACTGTTTTATTTTTCATCCACTGCGGTGGTGTATTGAGACCAAAAAAAAAAAAATCCTTCTGGATGCAACTGTATGGTGTGTGGACGCCTGACAAACATTTTGTGCGCAAATTTTGAGCGTGGTGGAAAAATACATACCGTCCTTTTCTTCTTTGTAGCTGCTGGGTGATTATGACAAAGTGAAAGCCCTCTCGGAAGGCTCTGACTGTCGGTGTCAATGTGTTGTCAGACCCCTGAGCAGGAGCGCCTGCCGGCGGATAGAAGAGGGCAGCGCAACGGCGCACGACTCGTACACGGTGGAGACCATCACGTCCGGTCCGGAGTGTAAGTGCGCCTGCGTCGCTCCTTCGTCTGCAGTCAACCCCTGCGAAGGAGAGCTCAGGCTGAAAAAGCTTAGGGAAGCTGCGAAAGATGATGTCAAGGTGAAGTGTCAATCCAGCGGGGAAAAAAAACAACAAATCAAAGGATCATTGCGGAGCTTGATTGGCACTCTCGTCTCCAGTTGGTCCTCACCTTTTTTTTTTTTTTTTTTTTGTGACCGAGTCCACTTGATCGTTTTAGTTGGCCACCGTCCTTGAGCTTCTGGAGGGTTCCTATTATGGGATGGATCTGCCCAAGCTGCACACCATCATCAGCAATCTGGTGGACCGTGTGACACACATTGAAAAGGTACCAGATGACGGCGGCCAAGGATCCATGTTGTGTTATGACTATCGGACGGGCAGTAGATAGGAAGCTTCACCTAGGCCCGAATAGACGCGAGGACAAAAGTATCGGGACACCTGGTCGTTACACCGACGGGGGAAGTGACAGTGGAAGAGAATAGAGAGTCAAGGCCTTCTCCGCTGTGGAACTTATTACAGCTTCTAGTCTTCTGGGAAGACTTTTTACATGCTTGTGAAATGTCTATGTGGACATTTTTTGAGGTCAGTGGTCACTGACGGTGGACTTGGGAGAGGTTTTTGATGAGGTTCGGGTCAGGATTCGCTCACAGGTTCTTACAAAGAGCAACACAGCAATAGTCGGATTCTACAATGTGGAAAGCATTTGTTGATTATTCAATGCGGAGTACGTCATGCGCTGACCGCAGCATTCAAAGGCCTGTTCAAGAGTGATTTTAGTGTGTCGCCATTTAAAATGACTACAGCTTGAGGTACAAATGATCTCTACAAACATTTTGTAAATGAGACCTTCACTCTTCTTCCAGAGAGCTACAACTGGGGTGATGAGCGAAGATGGTGGATATTGTCATCGTGGACCTGAGTTGCCTTTTTAGTTATGGAGCAGTTGTAAAAGTTGGAAAGATTTGTCGCCCAATTTATTTGACTCGCTTCGGTGACTACCTGCGTCAGTCTTGACTGAAAACTCATCCATGCAAAAGGAACCATATTTTGGTCAATTGAAGATGTGAACGGTTTCCCTAGGTGTCCAGATACTTATGTCCAAAGCGCCTCACCAGAAAATGACCATAAAACAATCCTTAGTATGATTGCTGGGTCATAAAATGACAACGAGGATACCATATCGTCTCTCCAACATGGCGGAGGTTGTGATAAAGGGACAAGATATGATGACAATAATAACTACACTGTTATTCAAGTTGGGTTGCATCAGAAAGCATAAAAGTCCCAGAAGAATGTGGCGGTCTCCGTCTCCCGATTCCATATCCTGAAAATAAATCCCAATTGTAATCATGGCCGGGACAAATTACGGCGTCGTCGCCTCACAGTGGAGGCGAGCAAAAAAAAAAAACGAAAGGAGGATAACGGGCTCACGTCGGCCATGTGCTTTCGCAGTGTGTAAATGTTGACTTGATCTTCCACTCGCTGGCTGACTGACATGGGATGTGACACAGCCATTGTTCGGCACTGAAAATAGATGCGCTTTTCCCGCACTACGTGGCCTCTGGAGACTTTTTTTTTTTTTTTTTTGCATGGGAAAACCTGGGGGAAAACGGGCCTCCGTTTACACTTGCAGTATTTATAGTGGACATCATCTAGAGCAGGGCTGCCCAACCTTTTTTGACTGAAGATCTACTTTTTGATGAACCAACCTCCTGCGATCGACTCGTTACCGCACGCACTTACACACGCATGCCGTAATGAGCGTGTTAACTATCGTAGCTCACGTGTACCGTTTAAAAATGCTTCTCTCGGCCCTCCAGATTCCCATTCTTTGCCAGGACCCTCCGTGAATGCTACATAAAAAGCCTTTTTTTTTTTTTTTTTTTTTTACAACAGCCACCTGCCTGACATCCCCATCGTGCCTATAGAAACGTGTGTGTGACGCAAATCTTCGTTGACATTAATGTTGAAATGTGATATTTATTCTACACATTTTTACAGCATTGGAAAACGTTAAGAATGTTTGTGTCATCTTTGTCTCCTACAGAAACCATATTAAAACTAAAAATATATTTCCCTCCCCCATCTTTTTCCGTTTTCAAACATTTTGGAAAAAGCTCCAGGGAGACACTAGGGCGGCGCTAAAGAGCCACATACGGCTCCAGAGCGTATTCCACGATCCCGGATTCGTTTTCTCATTTGGCAAATACGTTTAACGGTGACTGTTATAATCACATTTGTCTCTGACTGCGTCAAGGTGATGGCCTTAAAAGAGACCAAAGATGAGGCCAAGTCCCACCCAAACCCACCAAAGCCGACAGATGATGCTCAAAATCGGACCGCGGTACCACACTCACCTTCACACCGCCAAAGTGATCAGAGTGGGGAGAAACTCAGAGGACCAGACACGTCTCAAAAAGCAAAGGTAAACCTGATTTCTCGGACACATAACCAAGTGAACAGATGATGGTCCAAAAAGTTTTAAAAAACGGGTTCATGCTTGTAGTTCTTTGGATTCAAGAGAGAATCTGTTGAGAATATATGAAATTGATAAGAGGAGGCCGGGTGACTGTAGCACCGATGACCCCATGACGGCATCGGAGTGAAATGGCGATCCTCTCCAGAAATGTTGGGTGGGCTTCTTCCCTAAAGTCGAATCACCATGCTGGTATGCTTTCTCAAGGGCATTACGCAAGGTTATTGATGAAAACTGAAACGCCATGGAACAAATCTAACGCGAGGATGTGAACGTGGCAACAAGATGTGCCTTTTGTTGAGTCCAACACATAAACTAGGGAGTCACTTTGAAAAAACTGCGCATCCCCCCAATAAATCCACAAAGCTACACGACACTGGCAAAACCTCTGTTCATAAACAAAAACAAATTCTGTCGCTATGATCTTATTGTTAATCATTTTCAAGTTGATCTCACAGAGTTACATTGAGACCGCCAACCCTTGCTACAAATAAATATTTTTTTTTACGCAAGGTTTCATTTCACTGGATGCTTGTGAAGTTGTTCCTCTGTCCACAAACAGGAAAAGCACGGGGAGAAGTTTATTGCCGGAACTCTGTCCGACGGTTCGGCTCAGGTCACCAAGGTGAAACCGCACGCGGCTGGCAAAAAGGGGGCCAAAAAGGAGGTTTCTCAAGGGTCCAAGACTGCTCTTAACGGGATGATTATCAGAGGAGTGACTTTTTACAAGTCTGAGCCAGAACCATTGGCCACGGATGACGGGGAGCATGAAGAGAACGGTGAGTGCCATCGACGGTCAGACGAGAGCCAAGGCCAAGGTCTTCCAGCAACGAGATCCGGAGTATTTATCCAGCCGGTTTGGGGTTTTTTTTTGCAATGAGCAGCTGAAACAGCTGCTGGCAATGAACAACCTTCATGGAGAAGTGAAACAAAAAATATGCGGTGTCTCTGTCCCTAGTGTCTTACTGTCAGTCAGTCTACTTCTACTTTTATGGTCAAATATGCGAGAGTACCAACCTGCTAATCCAACCGTTTGCTAACTAGGTCAGGAAAACGGTTCCATCGTGACTAAAAAGGGTGGAAAGAGAACGTACATTTCTTTGACAGAAGTGAACCTTTTTTTTAGGGGGGGCGGGGCGCGAAAGATTTTTTTTTTTCCAATTTGATTGTTAGCAGGCTATATTCTGGTTCGTGGACAATTACATTAGGATCAGATTGATGACAATCAACCATCTGTATTTGGGGGGGTAGGGGGTGGGGGGGGGGGTGAAGAAATCACATTGCGATTCAAACACGATGCAAATGTGGCATGCTACCACAAAATGTAACCACAGTTTTTACGTAATCCACTAACTACCGTATTTTCCGGACGATAAGGCGCACCTAAAAGCATTCAATTTTCTGAAAGGCCGACAGTGCGCCTTATAATCCGATACGCCTTATATATGGATCAATATTCCGATTTCTTGGACGTAGTATTTTAAATATTTTGTAAAACGCTTTGGTACAGCTGCAGCGGTTGTGAAGGTTCTATATAAATAAAGATGTATTGTATTGTATTCCTTTAGTGCAGCTCCATCTAGTGGCTGCATAATGCAACCGCAGCCACTATTGTAGCTTCTATTCTATGCGCTTGATAATGCGGTGCGCCCTATATATGAAAACAGTTTTAAAATAGGCCGTTCATTGAAGGTGCGCCTTATACTCCGAAGTGCCTTAAAGTGCGGGAAATACGGTACCTAACAATACCTCTAACTCTAAGCGGGGGTAATAATGACTTAGCATTACATTTGTACATAGAGAGATGACCACAAATGCTTAATGTTGGCTTCAGCTGCCTTTCACCTAAATGTCTCCATCATCTGCAGATTTTGAGTATCATGGATTCAGTGGCGATGGTCCAATCGACCTCTTCATTGAGGAGAATCTTCTTCAGCACAAACCTCGTCCTCGTCCTCGTTCCAGGGAGAGGGCAGACACCAAGTCATTCCGCCAAGTGACGACTGGCCTCTTTCATAGCTCCAACAAAGTCAGCCAGTCTACTACACTAACAAACATTCTAAGCGAAGAGATCCAAGACATCGACGCACCATCTGTATCCACCGCGGTCGAGAGTGACACAAACACGACGAGCAAAGTCACGTTTGCGCCCTACACGACCTCAAAGAACCCCACCACAGTGAACTCTGCGTCTCAATCTGTTCCTTCAGACATCAGCCAGGGGACTTTGAGAACAGACACCTCCCCAGATGTTACAACCGATGAGATGACCACAGCAACCCACTCCCACGATAAGGCAATCGCTATAAGTACCACAGAGGCACCAACCTCCACCGTCATGGATGTGACCACCGCTGGGACCTACACCACCAACACTCCAATAACTACAGCCACTCAGGTTGCCCCCACAACATCACAAGCCACTGTACCAACCGACCTTCCAGTGTCTTCGACAGAAAGTCCTACGGACACTTCCCCACCTGTCACCACACCCGCGACGACTTTTCCTCCGGCCACGACCGCCACTCCCGAGACCACTACCGAGACCACTACTGAGACCACTACCAAGACCACTACGACAACAACCGCTACAACCACGAAGGCTCCCAGCCGGGCTCGTACTGTAAAACGCAAGTACAAGATCAGCTGGGAGGAGGAAGAGGAGGATTTGGCGTTTGATGACATCATGCAAAGGCAAGAGGGAGCAACGACAAGAAAACCTGGTAAACGGAGTCATTGCCCTCCTAATTCACACAGCGGTCATTACAGTGGACGTCTTATCATGTTATCGGGTTAACAGGGTGAATGAAAGGGTTAATTACTGATGAATTGCAGAAGAATGGACCAGTCGACTACTGAAGAAAACAAAAAACAAATGTATGATCCACACCAAATGTTAAGAGGCTCTCCCTTGGCTAGCGCCTCATACAACAACAAAGTCAGTGGTAATTGGGTCAATAGCTTTTGTCTCAACAACGGACTTCTTTGACTGAGGTCCGGACAAAAGAGGTCGAAACCCACACCGTTAAAAGACGCAACAGTCTTAGAATAGTACAATCGGGCAGCGGGCCACGGACCAGTTTAATGTCAGACAATATTTTCAGGTACCGGCCTTTAAGGTGTGGCGGATAAATACAACAAAATAATATGATATGATCTCCATGAAAACTGTGATATTTTCTAAACATAATAATAAACACGAATCATGACACCAGGAACGTCCTATCTAGTCGTAACGCTCTCTGGTCGCTATGGTAATGTTGAAACATGCCTTCAAAATAAGATACACCCCAAATAAATAAGTGCATGAAAAATATGACTCACCATCGCCGCATGTCGTGCAGAATGGGCTTGGTGCGTTGGAGTCTCCTCATGAGATGAATCCGTATTTTAAGTAGGACTCCTGATACTGTCTATTAAATGGAGCCTTCTTATTCTTGGAAGGTCGTAGGCTCCTCTTCTGTCTCCTGGTTGCGCCTTTCCGCTTCCCAAAGACGTTTGCTTTTTAATCATTTTGCTAGCACCTGGGTTTGATTTTAGCGGTGTCCTATCACGTGACCAAGAAGCGCGCCTTGACCTGTGTCAAGAGTAATTATACTGTAGACGGATGTAACAGAGAATCCGGTTAATTTTCAAAATACAACATATTTCAGATTCCGAAATAAATAAAAAGTAAGTTGTTTTAATGTAAGTTATTTATTCTTTCTGTGCGACCTGGCACCAAAAGGCCCACGGGCCGGTTGGGGACCCCTGCAATAGGGTATTATTTGGACTGTTCCATGCCAACGTTGCAACCTTTGCGTGCACGAGGCTGGATCAAATAAAAGCCTGTTACAGTAATTCTTTTCAGACTCTTTGAGGTGGGTCCGGACGATGTTGATGCTCTTCTAAATCCTCACTCATAACACTCGGGGGGTCTTTTGCAGAGGAATGTAAGGACACCCTGGCAACCATCTCCTATCCAGTGACTCATAACAAGTACGGCAAGACCGAAGGGGCCTGGATGAAGGATCCCAAGTCAGACAAAGATCGGATTTATGTCACCAACTTCTATTACGGAAACAACCTCCTGGAATTCCAGAACATGGAGGTTTTCAAAAAAGGTAAAGCGTTTTTTGTTGTTGACCCTGAGCTTTTGATTGCTCTCATTCCTTCTTATTGTTCACAAAAACCTTCACCAATTATTTTGTATCCTCTTCTATTTGTTTTATCAACTCTTACAATTTCCGTGTTTCATGGCTGCTTTGTCAATTCCTATTGATTGGCTATTTCAAATCTTTTCCAGCCGATTTAAACAACTCCTATGGCACCAGATTGGGTTGTGTATTTCTTCTTCTAATGATGATAAATCACACTTAGGGTGGATGCTCAACATACAGAACATCTCAACAATTTTTGCAAGTTCTTGTACCCTGGTGAAATCAATTCATTTTAGAGGTCCCGAAAACAACCCGACTCCCCACACCACCACAGTTTCACCGATAAACATGAAATTGATCATATCAGGATCAAATAAAAGGCTCACGAACCAGTGTAGAAATGGAAAATCAGCCATTTTGGATTGAAGCAACCATTTTGGGATCATTCCAGGCTCGTATTTTGTCAAGCTCTTACTAAGGAATCACCCCAGTTGAGCAACTCAAGCCAGATATCCTTGGCCAATGGGCGATGCTCAATTGCCAAGCTTTTTTTTTTCTTTTTTTGCTCTAAGCTAGCCACCGCAAACTCCGATTTACCACCTCCTCAAAATAGCTCATGTTTCGTCTCTCTCCAGGCCGTTTTACAAACTCCTACAAGCTTCCTTATAACTGGATCGGCACCGGTCACGTGGTGTACGACGGCGCCTTCTTCTTCAACCGCGCCTTCTCCCGAGACATCATCAAATTTGATCTGCAGCACCGCTACGTGGCCGCCTGGACCATGCTTCACGATGCTGTGATGGAAGAGTCAACGGCGGCGTGGGAGTGGCGAAGTCACTCAGACATCGACTTTGCTTTAGACGAGAGCGGCCTGTGGATCATCTACCCGGCGATGGACGATGAGGGCTTCTTACACGAAGTGGTTGTCCTCAGCCGCCTGAACCCGGTGGACCTCAGCATGCAAAGGGAGACCACGTGGAGAACCGGGCTAAGGAGAAGCCACTACGGGAACTGCTTCATTGTATGCGGCGTATTGTACGCTGTTGACAGCTACAACCAAAAGGAGGCCAACTTGGAATACGCCTTTGACACGCACACCAACACCCAGATGATTCCCAGAATGCCCTTCACCAACAATTACACCTACACAACCCAAATTGACTATAACCCCAAAGAGGGTGTACTGTACGCATGGGACAATGGACACCAAGTTACATACGATATTAAGTTTGCCTATGTAGACTCCAATTAAGGCTTTAATTGTAGTAAATTGAAATTCTTCAATGGATTGTAGAGCAGTCCAACTGGCCTGTAATGGCTATTTGTTCCATTTGTATCTGAAGTAAATAAAAATTGAGCCACTTTAGTCAGTTGACATTTTCTAGTGTGAAGCCAGCCACACACCGGCATGTAATTTCAAAACATCGACCGATCCTTGCACCTCACACATCTGTCGTCAATTTAGTAGAGAATCAGGAATTTTGAAACACGACTTTTATTCAACCACAAACGACATGGCGCATTTGCCAATGAAAAAGCGGATAAGCTGACCTCAAGAACAAATTTTCTACCCATGTGTGGTCATAACAGGACCTTTTTTTCCTGTTGGCTTGAACTTTTTAATAGCCAAAAAGTTGAGGCGTAGACTCTCCAAATTTCTGTTTCCAACCCAGGCTAAATTTAGCTCCTCCTCAACATATAAAGCCCCCTGGGTTGCGACGTATTGCGTCAACACACTTCCTTGACACAAATAACTACTTCAAATCAGGTTCCACATGTCACATGGTACCTCTAAGTTCCATTTGGTCTACTTTCAAAGCTCAGTAAACAATCTTTGGTGGACTGACCAAAACAGGAAGTAGAAACTTACCACAGGAAGTAGAAACATACCAAAATAAACAATGATAAATTGTGATTAATGGCGAACACCTCTGATTATCAGGACGCTGGGGGAAAAAAGTGTCATAGGGGGGGAAAAAACATAAGTCGTAGTAGTCCCCTTATTTTACGCTAACTTCCTGTGGATTTCAGAACAAGGGCCGAAATGTCACCAAAAAAAAAGCCCATCAAGGTTCCACCCCCACCCCACTCCCATTTTTGTGAACAAAGTCTAAAATTCTGATACATTTTTTTGTTTGTTGTTCTTTGTAAAAGCTCCTGCGTGCAACAATCAAATTACACCAAAAAGGCATTTGTCTGGGTGACTATTTGGGCAAAAAAGAAAGCTGGTGTAATTTCAGCTTCAGGATGACAATGACAGACTGAAATCCACAAAATGAAAACCGCACCAAAAAAACAAAACAAAAACAAAAAAAAAAAAAACCAAAAGAGTAAAATAAAGCATCAAATATGCATACAGAAAATCCAGTGTTTATTTTAGCGTATGCACAAAACACACATATTGCATGTCCTTACAACTGGCTTGCATTGACACTGGGGGAATCAAAATGTATTTTTCTTACCGGTGCGCACGTGCGAGAAATACACCGCAAGAGAGCGTTTAAAAATGAAACACATGGCTAAAATAAGCTTGTCGCAAAACAAAGATGCACTTACTGACTTACGCAGACTGTGAAAAAACAATGAATTACTTGAATTACTTAATTGCATTTCTGAGTCAGATCTGAACATTCCAGGTCTGCACTGCAAACTATTATGTTTTTCATAACCCCACCACATATACCTTATTTTAAATTCAAAGACTGCAAGTGCACTACACAAAAAGTGCAAGATATTTTCACATATTTTTCCCCAAAAGATGAACTTTATCCATACAAACAGAACATGAAAACATACAATTTTGTCAAAGGTTACGGCAATATAAATAAATACACGCATCTAAATCTGTTCAAATATTTTCAAACACAAACAACATTCTTCATCAAGAGTATAAAAACAAACAAACAAAAACAAACGAACACCAAGTACATACACATAGTGGTCAGATGTCAGAACACATGACTTCCTGAGCATCCTGTCTGTAGCTGCGTGCAATCTACTGGAATATTTCTTCATAATTCATGAAAACGTTTTCAGCAGAAATGCCAAATTCAAAAGAGCAGTCAATGTAGCAATCCCAAATCCGCAGATTGATTTTTGTCTTTTTTAAAAAAAAAAAAGATGTTTTAATTGAAATGTTTTCAATAGTATTCCTTTGTGGCTTTAAGCCTTTTGTTTTGGGTTTTTTTTCCTCCCGATGGTCATTATCGACGGTGGCCCTAGGCCGAACCCATGAGCACACCGACGGGAGGTGCGGCCTGTGCCTCTGCCCGGGAGTGCTGATACAAGTTTTGCGTGCGGTTGACCCGCAGTGCTGGCGGGATGGTGGCCGAGCGGATGTGGAGGATCCTGGTGTCGGTCACTTCGCAATCGATCTGCATCATCACCTCAAATTCCTTGTCGCCGATGACGCTGTCTGTAAGGGTAGATGAAGATATTAAAAGGGGGATACATTATTACTTGTGTACCGGTCCGCCAATCAAGCGGAAAATGACAAAACCAAGAACAGTGAACTCCTGTTGATCACAGTAGATACATTTCACAACAGGGAAAAAGCCACGACAGAGAACATCAATAAAACCGTGTTTTTGTTTGACCCCTCCCACACATATTGACATTTATTAGGGAAAAAAAAAGCTTTTTATTTATTTATTTTTTTTAAACACACAAAAGTGCAAGAGGTTTTTTGGGAGTTCATTGAAGGACAAAGTGCAAAGACGAGAGCAACACAGTGGAGTCCAGCCCATATTTGGTTGCGTAGCGGGCGACCAGGAAGTAGCCTGGAGGCCTTTCAGGCTAATTTAGAAGTAAACTGCGACTCTACAATGTAGATTTTGACCAACATAAGATAAGAAAGATAAGAAAACCTTTATATGTCTCACAATAGAGAAAGGTGAACATCCATCAATTACTGTGCCTTAACCACTTCATGGCAGGTCCGTTCCCTCGTGTCCCAAATCTCTGGACATTGGGACACCACAATTATTAGAACTTTTTTTTTTTTGTCCATGCAGTTTACTATAGAAATATCATTTGCTGTTAGCACTCTGAAATCACTCCGCCAACCCCGCTCCGATTGGATATCCCGTCTGACACCACTCCTGAAATGAAACATTTTCCAGTCTGCGGCATGGCGCTGTGAAGGCAAATGGCCACCTTTCATTGTCGCGCCATCACAGCACATACACAATCAATGTGCTCCTCAACTGTTCACTGCGCTGTGGTGTTCTACAAACGGCTCCTTTTCCTACAAGTGAGGGCACGAGAGGAAATTCAGTAAAGCCCGCCCCCCAAAAACCAATAACTGCCCAAGTCGGACAACGCGTACGTGAGATTGATTGCCATTTCGACTGAAAGAATAGCGCTCTAATCTTCCCTTGCCAGCCAACTTGTTGAAGAACTGCCATTTTCTTTTGAGGCGCCCGGATTAGATGGAAGCATTATCTTGTCAAGGCAAATGCAAAGCAGAGCTGCAGCCTTGTTTGAGTAGTAACGCAAAGGCCCTGCACTGCGCCGTAGAGGGTGGCGCGGTGAGCAGTGCTTCAGTTGCATGAGACTTCAATTTATTTTTGAATGTCGATTCTCGATCCTTACGGTTAACCGATCGGCATGTCCCAAACATTTTTTTAATATGTCCAAGAATTGCAAATCATGCCTCCTTTAATTCCTTTACCAGTTCAGCTCCCGTCAAACCCTTGCCACGTTTTAAAGCTGAGAAAAGTGTGAGAAAGGATTTTTTTTTTTTTTGGGAAGGCAGCTGGAGGCTCGCTTACAGATGGGGGAGTCTGGAGGTGAGTCACGCTGGATTTCTCCCTCGCAGAGAGACAAAGCGGCTCCTTACGAGAGCTGGACACGCATATTTGCGAGGAAAAAGCAGTGAGAAAGAAAAGAGTGTGGGGGGGATGTGGCCAGACCGTAACTTACTTGACCCATCTTGAAATTTACAAGCATGTGTTTTTTTTTTTTTTTTTTTAAAACATTGGGAGAAAAACATCCACAAAACCCAAGCACGCTTGTAAAAATCCTATGCCAAAAAGGAATTTGTGAAGATTGATACTAATGTCGCTTTGAAAGTAAAGTCCAATTCATCAGAATGATTCAGGGGAGAATGCAGAGAAACGCTACGCCGACAGAATGATGAAAGCAAAACCGTGTGGAACATGAGAGGCATGATTGATCCTCCCCCCCAGTGCCTTCAGCTCTTCAACACTGACCGCAATTGTTTGTTATTGTTTGCTGGCGCTTTGTAAATATTGGTTCCATTTGGTGTGGTTTTCCCTCCTTATCATGCTCCTCATCCGCCGTGGTCGCCCGGTACGGCCGCTCATCGGACTGCCGACATTGAAACGATCCACGGTCGACGAATTAAATGCGAAACCGAGGAAACCAGTAACAACAAACATGATATAACCTTTTGCAGCGTGAATAGAAAATAAAAACCATGAATGGGGGTCAGGGGGATAGAACTTAAAAAGCAGATTGTTTCATTGCAGGACGGCTAGTGAGAAGACCAATCCACAAAAGGGACCAAAGACCAAGGTCCTCCTTCCAGTACGTGCTTCCCGCTAGTAGTAGGAGGCTTTCGAATACATCAGGAGAGCAGCAAGCGGTTTAAAAGCTGCGGTATTTTTCCAGCCACCTGTGCAAACCATCAGACTCCTCCAGTGCTTTTTGCAGCATCTTCACAAGGTTCTCCTCAGGAAGGACAATAGGGGAGTTCCCTCTCCCGCCTGCAAGATTCCGCAGGTGTTCATGTCATTAAACGGGCGTCCTGACGATGACCTCATCTGCCGCTGAGATTCATCCTTCGCACCTGCACTGAAACACACTTAGCAGACCTCTTTGGATGGGATCCAAGCTGAAAGATCCGTTACGCTATATGGCTATTTAAAAGCCAGCGCCACTCGGCTCGTCTCCGTGCAACTTTGTAAGATAACGCTTTCAGGTCGGTCCGGTCTGTAGATGCTGCTCTGAATGGGGGAGCAGGACTGGTGCTTTTGGAATTTGAATCCAAGAGCAACTGAAAATGTATTTAGGATAGCACAGATTTCAGCTAAGGCCACATTTCTCTCATATGCAAATCCACAAATCGACCTACCACACATTCACATAATGAGACATGGTGAGCCAGCCACAGGGTCCTTTTCAATGCCAAATCATCTGAGCAGATTTTGATTTTCACAAGGGTCGCGCGGCGTGCTGGAGCCTATCCCGGCCGTCTCCGTGCAGTCGGCGGGGACACCCTGAGCCGGTTGCCAGCCAATCGCAGGGCACACAGAGATGAACAACCATCCGCACTCACACTCATACCTGGGGACAATTTAGAGTTTTCCATTAACCTGCCACACGTTTTTTGGAATGTGTGAGGAAACCGGAGTACCCAGAGAAAACCCACACAGGCACGGGTAAGAACATGCAAACTCCACGCAGGAAGGCCAGAGCCAGAATCGAACCCTGCACCTCTGCACCGTGTGCAATCACTAAATTTAATTAACTCATTCACTCCCAAAGACGTTTTTAAACGTCTTTTCAGACTTGGTCCAGAATTGGCTGGTACTGAATGAGTTAAAATCCAAATCTGCTTGGTTAAACCCGTTGTATGATTTGGCATGGAATGACCCCACAACACTATGGAACTATCGGAAAACGGGCCTTACAAAGAGACGACTCAGTTGTCTCAAGTGGACCGTTAACAGCGTGCTTCAAAAGTGTCTTCAGAAGTGTTTGGGAGGGGTAAAACATTGTAAAATATTTTTATGTGGCATAAACTGGGGCTACCTCCCACTCCCCCCGCAGTTATAAGTGGCAGACTGGTATTGCATATCAGGAAGAGAAGGCAGCATTTCCGAATGAGACGAGAGCTGGGTGAAACTTGACGCTGGTTAAAACTCCTGAGTCACTTTCAGACTGCTGTTTTGTTAAAAACAGATGTCAGAAACCATCGCATGACCGTTTGTCCAGTTGTGTGCTGTTTCTGGCTCCACAAGTCCATAAAAAGATCACTCAACAAGTCGGTAGGTGACACGGTACCTTTGCATTTGGGTCAGCGAGCTAAAGTAGATTGACTTCGAAAATAAATACACGCGATAGGTTGAGACATTTTTGGACACGGGGGACTGCTGAGTCCATCGGTTTGATACTTAAAAATGCAACAGTTAGGTTGATGTCGTGAATCGGCTACCTCGACCGTATGAAAACTCATGTTTTTGTTTTGAGACATCAAGCTCCACTCCATCTACCCTGTTATTATTTTCAAAAGAAACTGGCAATTCTAATAATGACTCTGTAATTTGCGGGCGACGATCTAAAGGGATCGCATCCCGTCGGAGGGCCCTTATTTTTGTGTTCCCTCTGACTGTCAACCCTCAATTTCTCAACAAATTACCCCAAATGCTCTGAAGGGCACAATGGAACAACCACGAGACGACGACAGACTCTGCGGTGAAGCTGCCAATCCTTCACGGTCTCCTTTGCTCCTTTCCAGATTCCATCTGGAGGTGTTCCACAACATTGCAGTGACACAGCGAGCTGCTACGACCCGATAAAGGCCGGGGGTCTGGCAAGCATGTCTCCGAGTAATCTGGAGAGCCATTTTCGAGAAGATGCTATCTGCCGCACCGGCGCCAAAGCTGAAGGAAACGTTTACAGGTGACCTGAGAATGACCTCACATTTTTTGAACCCGGGAAAGAACGCAAATGCACTAATTAGTACCATCATTAGGGTGAAGTTCTACGAGCCAAAGTAAGAGCTAATAGGTGTCAATAATTGAAAAGTGTATCAGTGAAAAACTGAAGGGTGTACATTTATTTTGTGAATGCAAACACTTTGTTTTCCTTCTTTCTTCTTTCTACCCACAATCTTGCTGCTGTAGACTGTAAATTTCCCCAGTGTGGGACAATTAAAGGATATCTTATCTTAAGTGGTCAGCAGCATTTTTTTTTTTAATCAGAAATGGTTTTGGGTGTCTCTCAACGTATTTTGGCCCTTTCACATAGCCAAGTACAGCACTACCTCAATTTACGAGATTTTCCCTTTTGACTTGTGAGCAGAAATTTAAAATGTGAGCGCGAGACATAGTTTGGCAGATGATTGAACAGTTCTTCCAACTGCTAATGGATAGCAGCGCTGTTGCATTGTTCTAATGGACATTTGAACACTAACGTGCAAACAGACAATACAACAATACTCAAGCATACTTTCATCTGCAAAAAAAAAATAAAAATCACAACTATTACTGCAGCTTACTGAACTGCTATAACTGTCCTCTTCGTTTCTAGGTGTATGTTTGCATTACAGTGCCCCTGGTGGCCAAGGGTGAACAGGTAGACTATGGTCTTATTTTTCAGAGAAAAAAAGGCATATTTTCCAGCTTCTTACTTTTGAAATAAATAATTTCTTGCGGTGACAATGATTTATTTTTTTTCTCGAAAATAGAAAACTTGTAATTCCTTTGGCACTTCGGAGTACAAATGGTTCCGTTGGTCTTTGGATTATTGAAGGGGGGCCTTGGAACAAATACTCCCCTGTACAGGTTTCCCTGGAGTCAAAAGTGTGCAATCCCTTGGTGGGACACCTGGTTCAAATTTGGGCAGACTTAAGTACGAACGAAACCCAAAGTCCCCCCCCCCCGCCCCGAATTCTAATTATCTTTGAGGCAGAATTGGTCATACTTCTCTTTAATTAGATTTCACAAGTTGCCATTGCATGTACGTACATACAATGTATAAGGTCTACCGGTAAATGGCACAAAGGCACATTTGATTTGGTAAGTACAAGGCGAGAGTATCAATCACGCTGGTGAGCGCTCGAATGGGGATGAACTGTTTAGATTAGCAAAGTAGGAAAATCTGAATCCGCCGCTTTACCTTGAACCCCCCAGCGGCGGCTCTGCAGCAAACCGCAGAGCACATGTACCCAAGCGTAAATAGACTGTCTGACGCGGTTGATCCACCTGTAAATGATGTCATGGCCCAAACCTTTCCTCTCCTCCAAACATGTCACTGCCACTTGATTGAGCGACTTTCAAACTTTACGGCTCATTAAATAAACACATCGCGCAGTCCTTATAAGGAGTCACGGCTCGGGTTGATCCGACTCCGGAGAAATGCCAAAAGATTCGAGTTCACTTCACTCCAAACCTGCGTATGCAATATCGAAGGCGATCCCCTTCGCTTGTTAACCAAAAGATCGCTGCGCATTAAGTTTGCCCAGCTCCAGATGAAAACCATTTAGTGACTGGAAGCGAAAGGCATTCCTCAAAAAGGGAGCTGGAAAGAATCAGGATGCATTGTGGAATAATCAAGTTCCAATGAGAGAACGGTGTCGCTCACCCAGTTGCATTTGGAAGTTAAGGGGGGAAAAAAAAGGGAAAATCTTGAAATCCGCTTTCCTCACGCGGTATGCGGGAAAGCGGCGCCATATCAAAGAGTCACCATCACACTTGAGGTTGCTAGTCTTGTGGCAGCTGGAACAGCGGCTGCTGCGCTTGCATCTGTGCTAACTTAAGCCTGGTGTCAAAAGTCCTCACCCCTCGCTAGCAAGAGGCAAAACCGTCACCCCAGGTTGCCTTCAAGACCTCTGCGGAAAAGACTTGAAAGAGAAAGCACACTCCGCGCACGCATGAAAGATTGTGGAAAATCGGAAAATTCTTTTGTGAGAAGACTGGCTCCAAACTTTTACATTTCATCCTGAATTTCACCTTCATTTCACCAATTAGCTTAAAAAAAAAAAACTGAAAAACTGGACGGCACTATTTACTGGCGTTTTAACAGTCGGTGTGACTGCAAAGAACAACATTCCTGCATGACAAGCCCAACCTACAACAATCTTTATCGCAAAGTCAAAAAAACAACCAAAAAAAAAGGAAGGCGGTATATTCATAAAGGGTAAGTCTTCCTTGTAGTAGTTGCCTCGAAAAAAGAAAGATGATATTGGCCCCCTGCCATCGAGACAGATAAGAAAAAGCCAACAGAGTCAGAGATAATACCCGCCAGTGCCAGACGACGACGACTTTCAACACGTCTCCACTGACGCGCTTTGGAAATGATGACACGGCAAATCTTGGAGAAGAACTTTATGAACCCACAGAAATAAAACATGCGCACTTGAATGAATCACAAGACGGGTGACGGCCAAATGCTGACCTAAGCGTAACGTACACCGACGGTCGGGGTTTGCCTCTCGTCCACCACTTTTTCTTTCCAATAGACTCAAGGAAAAGTCCCACCGGTATCCACCAGCGACTGCCCAGAGCCGCTGTGCTAGATTAGATAAGATAAGTGAGCTCGCAAATCATCAATTGCAACCTACTGCAGCTTTTCCGCCAGCGCGGTACGAGCTCTGCTTGGTCCGGGCTGATTGATTTTTCCATTTCAAACAGTGCAATGGGAAGCCGTGCAAACCACGCCGCATGAAACACATCGGTTCGAAAAGAGACTCGCTAACACGCGACAACAATGGAGGAGAAGCCATTCTATAAATACATCTCAATATGTGGCCGTCGGACATAAGGAGAGTAGTTCTATTCGAGGAAGACCGCACGTGGCAACAAAAACAGGCCGCTGCAACAAAACAGAGACTGTGGAGTCCAGAAACCAGGACAGGGGAAGTTAACAGTAGCAGACGTATTTATTTTAGTCAATTCTAGCCCAAAAAATATAGTCGGCTGCAGCAAAGTCGAGACTGTGGAGTAGGGCAATATGGTATTCAAAACTGGGGTATGTTAACTGAGTTAAGTATCATTAGCATATGTATTCATTTTTAGAGAATAAGTGCTAAGAAATAGCAACAGAGGATGCTAACTTAAGCATCTGTGATTTATTTTGATAATTTCTCAAATACTTGGGTATTTAAGACTATAAATTCTCTATAGGTGGGCACTGTTGTCATTTGGGGGGGGGGGGGGGGATTGCTTTCATCCGAAAGGGTTGGGGAGATAATAAACTGCCTCACAAAGTTCGTTTTTTTTTCTTTTCTCCTTACAAAATGGGATAATTTTTTTTCCCTCCATGTGTTTTAGATTGCTTTTAATAGTATCGATATTATATAAACATGTCAGCCCTGGCATCTGTTAAATTTGTTCAAGTAAAAGATTTGCAAAGCCATCGCCAAAAGGAAATCACAACCCTGAAAAAGCTTTTCTTTTTCTCCCCCCCCCCCACCCCCCTTTAAATCTTTGTGCCTGTATGTGGTTTGGACAGTGGCTGGGCAGCCACGTTGCAGCTCTGCTAAATGCAGCAGGGAGAAGAACAGGCTGAGGGATGTGACAGAGGGCAATGAGGACTCAAGATGCAAAACATTTGGGGGTGGTAGTGGGGGGGGAATAATCCAACAATAATGAGATTACATTTTGACAGGCGACACACATGCTAGTAGTTGGGTCATGGATGTTTTTCATTAGACGTCCTAGTAAGGCATTCATGAGCAGTGTCCCTCGCCTTTATATGTGTCCCAAGTGCTGACTGATCCATTCTACGAGTGTCGTAAAGGGTCCTTACCGTTTAGGTTCATGGCAGGCAACACCACAGACATTTTAGGGCGACTTCCTTTGTTGTGGCTGGTGGCCGGAAGTAGCAGATGATCCTGAGAACCAACACGAGAAGGTTATGGAAAGTATACACCGGCTCTTACCCAGTTTATAAATTAGAGGCTTCTGGTTTTCTCGGGTGCTGACAAAGATCCTTGTGGTCAATAGTGTTCATTTCTTTGAAATGTCACCGACTGAGTCCAATTTCCACGCGGCAGCCTATAATCAAAATCGTCTCGGCAAAAGCACTCGTGTTCTTTCGTTCTCAAGCGGCGCAAACGGCAACATTTATGAGATATCGGTCATAGTACTGCGAGATGGGAATGCATACTTTGCAAAAGAGTTTGCTGCAGGTGAGTGTGGTGCATTTATGCGAACGCCCTTGTGACTAAAAAGCAGGAACGGGGAGGGTTTATTATCGCCTCTAATTGCAGCTTCAAACGGTATGACACAATGTGGTTTGCTGAGGTTACTCTGAGATCAGTGCGAGCATTACGACAGGATACGAGGATTGAGGGAAGCCAACATTTTATATATTGCGCGGCAAACCACTTCTACTTGTCAACAAGCCCAAATATCAGAATCAGAATCTGAAATCCACATTAAATCATGAATTTTCTGACCAATAAATTATCTCTCACGACCAGGCTTGGCTTTTAGTAAAATTTTGTATATAGTGGAATGTCTCACAGAAAAGCAAGTGGTGACAATTTTTCATTTCTAAACTAAATTTCCCTTGGGAAATAATGGAACTCAATTTCAAAGTCAGACTCTAGTGCAGTGGTAGCTCTACTTGCGAAATTAATTGGTTCTGGAAGAAATTTTTTAACTAGAAAAGTTTGTAAGTCGAGACACGTTTTCCATGTAAATGCCCTAATCCGTTCCAAGCCATGCAAAATTCAGACAGAAAAGTTTTCTAAAGCATAAAAATTAAATCAAAATATGTAATAAATACATGTTACGATTACATTATTGCACAATAAATGAGAATTGCTCATAATGTAAAAAAAACAAAGAATAGAGTAAAGAATATAAATGATGGTCATTTAACTTTCAACTGCATCCTCCTCATTTTTTTTGCCCTCTTTATAGTTCATGTTCTCTCCCAGAAGTGTTTTTTGCCTGGCGTTTTGTCAAAAACTGATCCAAAGACGTTTGCTTTTGTCTGCTTTTAACAATCCTTCGAAAATGTCCAAGGCAAACATCAGCATAGTGTATATAATAATCATGATAATTTAGTTCATCAATCCATTATCCATACCGCTTATCTTCACTCTGTTCAAAATCGCCCGAATGTTTTCGCATCAACATAATCTGCTCAGTACATATTTTCATCTATATTCTTTCCCAGTACAAAATCAATCACTTTCATAAATAACAGTTTTTTTTTTTTGTACATTATGCTGAACGCTGTGAGCAGGTAAAAAGCCATCCGTGCTGCTGCACAAATATGTAGTTTAGAGACAAGGTTTGCAGTCTTGACATATGCTTGTGACACAAAGAATAAGATGAAAGCCACCAAAGGGATAATTCAATGGCGCAAAATGAGCAAGCTCTTTTCTGTGTAAGAAAATATCACATCCACGCCTGCTCATCATCAAGAGACTTTCAGCTAGACGATCTGACAGAAGAGCTTCGGGCTCCATGACGACATCTTATGTTTTCCTTGAAACAATATGGATGAGACCCTCAAGGTGCTTTCACCACGTCACCCCAATCCATCCTTCAATAGAGCTGTCGGTGCCCCAACACAATCAGTACTACACAATCTTTCTGGCCTTGTTGAGAGGTAAAATTTCCATCCCCTGAGCTCATTTCGTGCTCAAAGGGAGGCCACAGGTGATTGGTTGCCTGTGGAGGGCTTAAAGTGATCTGGGGTTCCACTGGAGCAACATCAAATGAGCTGAAACTGTTGGCGAGGGCAAAAAGATATCAACTATCCTCAAGACAATAGTCAAAATTAATAATGATTGCATTCATATTCCAAATTCAATCCAGAACCTTGGCGAGGCTTTTAATCACATCACACACAGTGGAAAAAAAGAAAAAAAGCCTCTCACGTTCAAATACGTAGATCCAGGAACCCAGGAAACAAAACACACGCAAATGAAACCACGAGAGATTCCTACATATTAAAGTAACCACAATGAGTAAGAGTGCTGATTTAAAACACGTGAATTATTGTCTTCTAATTGTGAAAAATTGTCTCGAGAATAACCAGTGACTCCCAGCGAATTAATGCGTTGTGAAGGTTCAACAGGTGGTGCTGGGGCAAAAGATCCGATTTTACTGAGCTGCTCTGAAAATCAAAAAAAAAAAAACACCTCAGCTGTCCAATTACCGTATGTTCTAACAAGTATACTTTCTTTGGAAACTCTATGGGTCAATGTTAAAAATGTCAGCGTGAATGCAAATTGAACCAGGACCAAATACGACATACATCCGATGCATCATTTCAGGATCATAGAATTAGATGATAGTCACACGCATTAAGATGCAAAAATGTATTCAGCACTAAAGCACTCCCCCTCCCCTCCCAATTAGGGCTTGATTTTTTTTAACCACATGGGTATGATTTATTCATTAGGCCTTCATGGACAGTTTATAGGAAAAGTCAAATTTAAAAAGGGTCTTGTGGATAATTAGTGTCAAGCTGTGAAACCTTTCTGGACTATTTTTAACATGCCGAGCGTCAATATGTCAGATTGCGGAGCTATCGATCCAAACTTACCCTGCGGAAAGACACCACGTAGAACGTGTCGCCTCGCCGGTTCATCTCGGCAAAAAAGTCGCTGTATGTGTGAGGCGGTCTGTAGTACACTTGGAGCTCACTGCCAGGAGTCCTTTCGAAAACAGAATTATGAGATCAGAAACATGCTGTTACAATTCCCGGCAGTCATCCTTCCATTCATTTTCAAGGGCATTTGTCCTCGCTGGGGTCATGGGTCCCCCATTGCAACTCAAGGCCTTTTTTTCACACTCCTCCATTCATTGTGAATGTGGCAGCAAACATAACTTAAAAACGTTCAGCTGTGCGCGGTGTGACAGACGCTGCGTCCAAAAGGAGAAGGTAGCAGAGTGATTTGTCAGACATTGTTGGCAGCGCTAGACATTGGAAACAAAATGGAGAAAATGGCGTTCAAAGTTCTGAATGAAACTGAATTGAATGTGGCTGTTGAAAATAGGCTAACGGTGTGCTTGCACCTCGTGCCTTGGTGCGCTCGAAGCATGTGACTGACACCCGGCAACCATTTTATTTGGGGGAAAGAACGTCGACATTCAAGCTCCTTAAATACAAGTCGGCGTTGGTGTTTTCATTTCAAATGGGAATTGGTGGTCAAAACAGTGAAACCTGAAAGGCAAAATTAGCATTGGTAGGATTGCTAAGACAATTCAATTGCTTAGATTAGTGATTTGTTTTGTTTTTATTTTTGTGAGAAGTTGTGCATGCAAATCTGCAAACGCCCCTATCAGCGATATGAATTAGAGGGAGAAAAAAATATATGTTTGATCATAATTGAAACTAGACCGCTGGACCCGTTAAAACCGTTTCCCCTTCGTCCTTCACATTTCCTAGGGAGGAAAAAAACTATAGGGGGCCAACAAAACCTATTGCCTCCATCTGTCTGATGTGAGTGCAGCGCAGCAGAAAAGGTTTTGAGAGCTAAAACTCTGAAGTCAAGTACTGGGGTCATCCTTTACAATCTGTGCTTCATTAAACTGAAAAAAGAGGGGAAACAATTTCCAAAAAAGGAAAAGAGATTTTACCTCCCATTTTGGTTCCATTTAAAGCCCCACTTAAGTCAAATGCCATGATAAGAAGAGATGCTTTATGGAATGGTGTTGTGCCAAGGAAAATGGGTATTTTTTTACTTGCATCTTTTTAAAGTTGGCCTAACAAAGCTTTCTAACGCAACAATATGATTCAAAACCATATTATGCGTTACACGGGCTTGTGAAAAGGAGAGTAACATGTTGCAGCTCCACCACACACATTGTTCAACAGACAACATTTGCTAGCATTTAGCTGACAAATTCACCTTTCCCTCTGCTGAGCAAAAGAGACTGCAGTGACCTAAGAGCAAATTAAAAGTCGATTCACTCGGGGGGGCGGAGGGGGGCCTTGAACAGAACAAGCAATCTGCTCCTGACGGCTTCTTTTTATGAAGCGTACATTACAGGTAGAGTAAAAATACAATTTTGTGAAAATAAATGATATCATGCCATTACTCACTTTTCTTTGGCAGTTTCTGTGTATGCGACAGTCACGATTTGAGAGCTCTCGGCATCCTTATGTTCAGTTTTCTGTTGGAAAATTTAAAACATGGTCTCAGTATAGTACCACCCATTAAAAACAATAACATTGGCTGACAACGTCCAACCTCCCGATTAAGTCTGACGGTTGGGTCGTTTTGTTTTTTCAGAAAACATGTCTCTGTTTTAATCACAACTTCAACAATAACGATCGACGTACCCTTTTTGGTCCATTTTCAGAGTTGTGGTAAAATCCCAGAGAGAGCTACAGTAACTCCCCCCAAAAAACATATACAGGTACTCAAATTCAGACGAGATCAGAAATCGACTATACAGGTGAGAAAGAAATTCTCCATGTCTTTTACCATACCAGAACTATAATAAATACCCGTGCAGCAATTAGTGATTAAGAGAGACCCAGATGGATATTGAGAAAAAAAAAATGATGGAAAAAAAAACAGAGCAGCGGGGTGGGGGACTGCACTAATTCCACAGATCCCCCCCTGAGTGTTATATTTACTTTCTCATGGTTGCCGGATTAAATCCAACTCAAAAAGGAGGAATGAGAAGACAAAAACGAGCAAGGTGTGCGGGGAAGTAAAACGGTGGAGAAAAGAAAGGCTTTGCTTTGCCAAACAAAGACGTTCCTGATGAAAAGTGATTACCACTTACGTTTTAGTTCAGAAATCTTTTTTTTTTTTTTTAAAGAGGTTTACGTGGCAAAATATTTTGCAGAATGAGCTGATGGGACTTGCCAGAATGCTCCTGGAGGGTCTGAGGTGGCTGTTACTCATGCGCTTGGATTTGGTCAGCTGCAAGTCGTGACGGTGAACCCACCCCCTCAACTCGTGGGCCAGCCTGTCCATCAAAGTCAGCGCACATTTAAAAAGCACATTCTTTTTTTTTTCTTTCCGTAACTACAGAGCTGCATCAATTTCTGTGATCTATTGTGGGCGAGTGAAAACAACATGTGACGCTTGGAACACTCACTCAAGACACTTGGTCCTATTAACAGGCGGCAGGCAGGGGGGCGGCGGCGGCTTGAGGAAGTTCAGCTCCTTCATCACCATCAGGGCCTTGTCCTCAGCGCTGCAGCGCCACAAACACATGACAGGAGGCCAAGAGAACATTGATGAGAGTCGAAAACACGTTGAAAGGCTTGGAAAACGTGCATGTGAGAAGTTCACGTTCGCTTTAACGAACTGTTAAAAATGTTCTTCTCATTAAGAAAATGCTTTCAGTGCAAAGGGAGAGCCAACATGGCCGCGCGGTCTGCAGTCGGAGTCAAAACACCCATGGCGAGTGGGTAAAAGAAAAGCCAAAGACAAGATCGACTTGGCTTCCATCTGAGCACAAGGGTGACTTTATTGATGACATTTTAATGGTTGCCATGTGTCGCGACGGAAAGGCTTCTGCCAGTCAATAGAGTCGAAGCATATGGCAACATCAAGAGTGATGTGTTGGTCCACCTAATACTCAAGCATTTGACAACATCAGTACAGCGGGACCTCGAGTCGCGTTGAATTTGTTCCATAAGCACAGGCTCAAAATCGTTTGAGTGCAACAGCTAAAGAAGCCACCAGGAAACTGGAGTTAAACTGGTGGGCTTTGATTTGAAAGGCTTTATTGTTTTTTTTTGACAGGACGTTACGCCGATGTCTCCCTAATCTGCCGTGTTGCGGACATCATTGCCGACAACGTCGAAATACGCTTTGCCGTCTGTTGAAGCCTTACACAATATGAGTAAATTCTGCATGCCAGCCATATTGATTAAGGTAAGACACTCATTGAAATTCAAGACCTTGTATCCAAGAAACTGGCTAACTCTGCCCCGCATCTCATGTCTTCCATACACCACAAAGCGTCTTCAATAAATCTAAAAGTGATGCCAAAACTTTGCTGATTTACATTTTGTTTTTTGTTACTATTTAAACACTCACTTGCCCTTTTGTTTCCCCATGTGTGCTCCAGCTTAAGACAGTTGTTACTGCCACAGCTGGTTGTTAAATGTGGTGCCTTTCACAAGTCTTTTACGGCTTATGGCCACCAAATGACAAAATATAAAGTTATTACTTCACGAGTCCACATATACTGTAACTGTGACTGTGATCTTATGGAGGGAATTACTGTATAGCTCAACCTGTTGATGTAGTGTGTGTCCACACTTGGAGCCAAACTGCAAGGGCGCTCGTTACCAAAATGTGGGCCACCAAAAAAATCCCCCTCAACCTCAGCCAAACTCTCAAGGTCCTGGAAAAAATTCTCTTAGACGACACGTCAGACCGAGGGGCCTGATCGTAACTCTCGATTTGGGGCCCCATATGAACCTTTCTGCACACACAGCTTCCTATTCAGGCAGACCCCCAGATTAGATTGCATTATCCCCTCCAATCAAACGGGTCCTCCGCGAGCATTTGGCGCTGTCACACCCTTGTGAAAATGCTAATGTGTTCCTTCCTCCCTACATCGGTTTGGGGAAAGCTGATACTACAGGTGACTGGCTTGTTTTAGAAAGTGACAGAGTGCACATGTTTATCTGACAAAACACAGGCTGCCAATATTGTGGACTTTAACCACCTTGCAAAACATCATTTTCCGGTCACGGGGGGTGCAGGTAATGTACCAAATAAGAATGTTATTCATGCAATTTACAAATGAGACTTGCTGCGCCGCAATTGCTTTTAAAGCAGAAAGAAAAATATATAAGTCCTTGGAAAAATAAGCTGTGACTCGTGATATAAAACTGGATGTCAAAACATGGCCTGACCCCAATTTCCCACCTTGTTACTCAAAAGCACAGCTCGGGGGATATTTGAAGGCAGGCGTTTGGATAAAAGCTGGCGAGCCCCCTTACGCTCTTGTTTACACATGTCGTCATGAGCTGGTACCAGTAACAGCCGGGCCCCAAGCGCAGGTGCATCCTGGGCCGCAGAGTCAACAGCATGCTGGGTGTGGAGGACGACGTTACCTGTCGGCCATCTCGCCGCTGCCATTTCCAACAGACTCGGGGCCCGCCACGGCCTTGCTGTCTGTTTCCGAGGAGAAACCTAACAGGTGTCTGCTGTGCTGCACGGACACGACCTCCAGACCAGAACCCGCGTTGCTCTGAAGTTGACTGATGAAGTTAGACGTGGGGGGGAAAAAAAGAGAGGGAAAGAAGAAATGAGGACACTTGGGACGGTGGAAAGAAAAAAGGAAATTCCAAGTGGCCTTCATCCTGTGCCACAAAGTCCAACAGTGAACTCTGATCTAGTCTGTGCAATCCAAAGCACACGGAAGAGCCCATGCGGTGTCATCCAATGCTTTTACAACACCGGGTGGCTTTTTCATTTTACATTTCAAAAAAGATGTCAAGAAAATTTGCCGTGTAAACGTGAGCATATTCTGGATTTTTTTTTTTATTCCCTAAAAACACGCCGAGACAAGCAGGTACTGAAACTCAAGGCTGACCTCCGCTACAGAGCACACCACAAAAGCAACAAAAAGTTTTTAATATGCAAGCGCTACACAACTAACCCTCAGATCCAGTGCACATTCCGAGCACCGTAAAGCTTATCAAAATCAACAAATCCAACTCGCGTCCCTTCGTGGAGAACGCCCTCCCCAAGAGAAAGCAAACATTTTTATAACGTGACATCAGAGAATCCTGTTGTTATAGTTGGAATCTAAAAGTCCGGCATTTTGCAAACTGGGCCGAATTGAACTCTTTTATATAACCCGTCTTCATTTGTCAGATGTGGTAATAGTGAACGCGGAGATGAAAAGGAAGGACCGCATATGCATTTTACGCCGCACTTGGAGCGTCACATGTTTGGTTCTAACGGTCGCATTGGGTAAATGTTTACATCCCAGTAAATCCCAGCAGGATTGTTCTGAGGTTTATTCACCTATTCGTCACAAAGTCCTGTAAACTCTGGCGAGCACATCAGAGGAATGGCTGCGAAGATGACTAAATGAGTATTTTTTTTTTCTTTAGAGGAGAACAGTCTTACTCATGCTAAGACGAGGACATCTACACGATGGACCGCTAAGTTCTTTCAGATCACGGATTCATTGCAACACATTGTCTGCATCAACCGCTGTAAAGTAATCACATCAAAGTCTTACCTCAACCTAAAGTTGGCCATTGATTTGACAAAACTGTCGACCGGATTTAGCAAACAGTCTGACTCAACAGGAACTCGTTTGCGCTGTTTTCAATAAGCCTTTGGATAATGTCGTACATGACAGGCAGGAGTCCCGCAGTGATTCATCGGGATTCCCATTTATTTCCTCTTGTAAGCCCACCGTAAATTAAATATTGCAGTAATATTGCTCCGACAGCAACTGCCAACAACTTTTCTTTAAATAAAGAAGCAAGTGTCAATTCGAGTGTTACCTAATTGGTCCGACATTCAGCACGAGGAAGACCAGGACCACCATGAGGCACACGGCTCGTCTCTTGGGAGCGGTTGCCTTCAGCACGGAATTCTGCAGGGGGAAAAAAAAAAAAAAAACTTTTTTTTTTTTTTTATTTTAAACAGCATTTGGAAAACGAGTTGTTTTGCAAACTGGGCCGAATTGAACTCTTTTATATAACCCGTCTTCATTTGTCAGATGTGGTAATAGTGAACGCGGAGATGAAAAGGAAGGACCGCATATGCATTTTACGCCGCACTTGGAGCGTCACATGTTTGGTTCTAACGGTCGCATTGGGTAAATGTTTACATCCCAGTAAATCCCAGCAGGATTGTTCTGAGGTTTATTCACCTATTCGTCACAAAGTCCTGTAAACTCTGGCGAGCACATCAGAGGAATGGCTGCGAAGATGACTAAATGAGTATTTTTTTTTTCTTTAGAGGAGAACAGTCTTACTCATGCTAAGACGAGGACATCTACACGATGGACCGCTAAGTTCTTTCAGATCACGGATTCATTGCAACACATTGTCTGCATCAACCGCTGTAAAGTAATCACATCAAAGTCTTACCTCAACCTAAAGTTGGCCATTGATTTGACAAAACTGTCGACCGGATTTAGCAAACAGTCTGACTCAACAGGAACTCGTTTGCGCTGTTTTCAATAAGCCTTTGGATAATGTCGTACATGACAGGCAGGAGTCCCGCAGTGATTCATCGGGATTCCCATTTATTTCCTCTTGTAAGCCCACCGTAAATTAAATATTGCAGTAATATTGCTCCGACAGCAACTGCCAACAACTTTTCTTTAAATAAAGAAGCAAGTGTCAATTCGAGTGTTACCTAATTGGTCCGACATTCAGCACGAGGAAGACCAGGACCACCATGAGGCACACGGCTCGTCTCTTGGGAGCGGTTGCCTTCAGCACGGAATTTTGCAGGGGGAAAAAAAAAAAAAAAACTTTTTTTTTTTTTTAATTCATACAGCATGTCGAAGACGAGTTGTGTATGACGCCATTTTGGGCATACGCGTGGGACCTTTTCCCACTGGTGGGACGTAACAACATAAGAGTACATTTTTCAGGTACCTGCACTTTACTTGAGTCTTTATTTTCTGACAATTTACTCCAAATTACTTTCAACTCCTTTCTTTTGTCAAAATAGTTACCTTTTCAACTGCTGCGGACAAAATAATAATCAGGACTTATATTTGTCGAGCATCTGGGTACTTTAACTCATTCACTCCCAAAAGACGTTTTTAAACGTCTTTTCAGACTTGGTCCAGAATTGGCTGGTACTGAATGAGTTAACCAACTTTTGCATTTCTCTCAGTGTTGATGAACACAGCTCAGCATCACCTTGATGCTCACCTCACTCCGCAGGCCTTCCAGTTGCCTCTTGAGGTTGCCGTTCTCGCTTTTGAGCACCGCGTTCTCAGACAGAGCCATTTTCAGGCGCGCTTCCAGCGACAGCAGATACTCCTTCTTCTTCTTCCGCGACAGGGACGCCGATTCGCGGTTCTTTATCATGCGCTGCTGCCTCTGGGAGAACTTTGACTGAGGCCGGAAAAGTGGGACAGACAGAAAACAACGGGGTGGGAGAGGAAAAGAACAACACTTGCGATTATGACTCATGTCACAGGATTGATCACATCTGGATGCGTTTGGGGGAAGCACCTAACCAAACAGGACAATTGGGGGCAGCTTTGCTGTGAGAATGCAATTAATGCCCACATGAGCCACCTGTTGAGCTGTCGATCATTCGCTCCTTCCACGGGTGTGACATCATGTTTCTGCATGTCCCCACTCAATCTTGCATACTTCTATTGCAGATCATCCAAAAGTAAAACCGCCATTTCACCGCGCAGCGTTGAAAATCTGCTCGGCCGTTGTTTGTTGTGGCAATATTTTCTTGATTAATGTAATGGAAGAACAGCAGATGTGTTTACAGTTGACTTCTTGCGAGAAAGGAGGTTCTTGAGCGCAAACATGGAATCAAGTACTGCGGTCGTTCTCTAATAGCTGACTCAACTCAAATCCATTTTCACCATTGTAAAAAAAACTGTATTAAAAGAGCAGCTGCTGTCTTACCAGTACTAAACATGGTGGTAACTTTTGATCACAAATATAGAAATGTTGAAAACAAATCTTTGCTAATGAGCCGCATGTTGCTTCCCCATGTCCATCGACGTAATTGTCTGATGACACGTTTCTTCCCATGGTGTTAAATTCACATTACTTCATCTTCTGGGTGTTTGTGGCAAGTGTGACAAAAGAGGAGCGTGACAAGAGCAGAACACTGATGTAAAAGACAGAGGCCAGTTAAAAGAAACGTTTCTGCATGTCCCCACTCAATCTTGCATACTTCTATTGCAGATCATCCAAAAGTAAAACCGCCATTTCACCGCGCAGCGTTGAAAATCTGCTCGGCCGTTGTTTGTTGTGGCAATATTTTCTTGATTAATGTAATGGAAGAACAGCAGATGTGTTTACAGTTGACTTCTTGCGAGAAAGGAGGTTCTTGAGCGCAAACATGGAATCAAGTACTGCGGTCGTTCTCTAATAGCTGACTCAACTCAAATCCATTTTCACCATTGTAAAAAAAACTGTATTAAAAGAGCAGCTGCTGTCTTACCAGTACTAAACATGGTGGTAACTTTTGATCACAAATATAGAAATGTTGAAAACAAATCTTTGCTAATGAGCCGCATGTTGCTTCCCCATGTCCATCGACGTAATTGTCTGATGACACGTTTCTTCCCATGGTGTTAAATTCACATTACTTCATCTTCTGGGTGTTTGTGGCAAGTGTGACAAAAGAGGAGCGTGACAAGAGCAGAACACTGATGTAAAAGACAGAGGCCAGTTAAAAGAAACGCCAGATAGGAATCAAGTAAAGGAAAAGGAGGACGGGGACGGGGTTTGCGTCACTCGCACTCCTGTTTAGTACAAATGATGGGAGTCTTAAATAGCAATTTTCAATACATCTGTCAGTGGGTTCACGACACCACTGCACTGACTTCGCACCCCGTAGAGTCCCAAAGTGCACACACAAAAAAAATTGACATCAAGATGCTTTTAGGGCTTGTTAGAAAGGACAAATTGATGGAAGCATGTCATACTTTTGAGAAATGATTCCCTAAGAGAGACACACAAACTGCGCTGACAAAAATCATGACTCGAAAACAAAGTTAAGCTCCGTTTGAACATATGGTAGAAATCATATTTCAAAGCCAAACAAAATTTCTGCGAACTAAAAAAAAAAAAAAAAAAGGCTCTTAAATTAAGATGTTAGACAATTTCAGCTGTGAAATATTTTGTGGTGTGGCTAAAACTGGACCCAGTGACGCACTCTGACAATCTGCACATGTGCCATTCTCATTACATAAGAACTTAAGCACCTTTGTTTGCATCAGCAGGTGTCCAGTACAATTACGATGTGCACTTAGCTAGCTAGCTAGGCTTACAGCCCGAAAAAGGCATTTTCCTTTCAGCCTGTTGGCATGACTGCTTTAGAGTGCCTTGTTGTCTGCCGTGAGTGCACTTCCCTCAGAGAAAGGGCGAGTAAGAGTTATTTTTTTTTAAATTTTTATGAAGTCCGAGAAGTCCGCGACAAGGTGGGCTAAATTCTAGCCACCTGTGACTCAGGGAGATCTATTTTCATGGCTCAAACATGTAGTCATGTCGGCATAAGAAAGATGTTGAACAAAAGCATGTTGAAGTAGTGGTTGTTGACATGACTATTTGTCAATATTTTGTCAATATTTTGAAGCGTCATCTTATATATATGCCAAATTTGAATGACTATAAACATTGCCGGCAATGTTTATAGTCATTCAAATTTGGCAGGGTAGTAAACGACAATTCTGTGGTGTATCAAATTTAGAAGACATTTACCTTCATTTGACAGGGAGATATGTTGATTGCGAATGTCTTTTAGCTTAATAATAACAGCGGTTAACTTGTTTTATTTGTTTGTTTGCTTGCTTTGTTTTTTGTTTCTTTGTTTTTTGGTAACACCGGAATTTTCCGTGACGCCCGACTGGGTAAAGATGTTTTGTGTCCTGCAAAGAACAATTGACTTCAGAGGGCTTCCTTGATTACCATCATTACGCTAAAATTATACTGTTACCCAACAAAACCAAAAACATCTTTTTGGATTTTAGCAATTGAGAGTGTAGTGTTTTCTGCATGCTGTGGTTCCATCCATCTATCCATTTTCAACACCGCTTATCCTGAACAGGGTCGCTGGGGGGTGTTGGAGCCAATCCCAGTTGACTTCGGGCGGAAGGCGGACAACACTCTGAACTGGTCGCGAGTCATTCGCAGGGCAGCTGTGTTTAAAATGGCATTTCACACAGAGAGACTTTACCCGTTCCCTGAGATAAAGCCTTTTAGATGGCAGGACAAATAGCCCTGGCAGTGATTAAGTTATTTGGATCCCCCTATTTGTGTTTCGTCTCCTGAGAAACTCCTCAGTCTCCCAGCCAGGATCTGGGAGTCGTGCCACATGAGTGAGCCTGGGAACGGCGCAACTACGCAGTTACTAGAGAGTGGAGCGAGGGGTGAACGTCACCTCGACATCATAGTGAGGCTGAGCAGGGCAAAAACGGTGGTTGCCTTTTTGTTACTGAGAAAATGTTCATGGGCAGAACCATGCAAACTATAGAAATACATTGAGTCTGCCCATGGGCGGATTACACGGACCTAGCTAATCTTTCAAGGGCTGCAGAAGGGACCAGCTGCTAACAGCTGTCAGTCGGTCATGCAATTGTGCAGATGAAGTGCTACCAAAGGAGGAAGTGTGTGATTAACCCATCATAAATGGACAGGCCTCATTTAACATGTTGAAGCGAACACATTTGTGGACCTAACTGGATGTCATAAACATGAATTACGGTGGCCTAGTTACGCATACAAGTCAGATGACTGTCAGACTGCATAATTTAAAAACAAAACAATACAAAGACTTGATATATTACGGGGGTTTTCAAAGTTTGGGTCATCATTGAATATAAATACTTTAGTGCAAGGCCAAATTAACTCGCCTACACGCTGTCGCTCTCGCAACCATGCAAAAGTCGTCTGGTGGGTGAAAGGGGTGCGCTAACTCTGTCTGTGTGCATCTTAAAATGTTAGCTAAAGACTGAGACCGAGATAAATCAACGGTACCTTAACTGAAGACTCTAAATTGTTTGTATATATGAATTCCAGTGTGAATGGTTGTTTGTCTTTATGTGCCCTGCCAATCAATGGTGGCCAGTTCAGGGTGTACCCCGCCTCTCGCCCTGTCTGTTGGGATTGGCTCTAGCAGACCGGCGACTCGAGTGAGGAAAAATGGTACAGAGAATAGCAAAGTAGGAACGTAGCTCCTTGCTGCCTTCAGTGGCTATTCTTTTACAGGTGAAATGACTTGGAGCCAGTCACAAGAAGGAGTCATGCCATCACACCAACGACAAAACTGTGCATCATCTCTGCATTTTCTTTCGTCTGGATTATTTCAGCACATGGTGACAATTGATCCTGCCTGCCAAGTCTTAAACACAAAGTTATGCAGGACGGGGAGATCCATTCAATTCCCACACACTCTGGGAAAACAAAATCCAACAAAACATGGCTTTTATGTGGTTGTTTGTTTCCCCCAAATTATGGGAGCAATACATTTCTTTTGTGTAACTCGGTAACAATTCACATTCCATCATTTCAAACATTATTTTGCACTTTCAGTGCTCTCTCAAATGGTCCGTGGTGACAACTATCAGAGCTACGTAGAGTGGAAAACCCTCTTTTTAACACGACGGTCTCCCCTACTTTTACACCAATATTACACTCAATATTTCACAAGTTGGGGGAAAAAAAGTGAGGTATCCAAATGTAACACAGTGTAAAAACGAACCACTATCAATCAAGACTCATACCACCCCTTACGCTGCCGGGGTCTCCTCTAAATCCCCTAATCCTGACAATGGATGATTTGTGGAGACTGATAATTCTGGAGCGGCGAAATCCCCGGGCTGCGCCGGAGTGGCATTACAAAGAAGGGGGGGGACCAATCCCTGATGGCTGTTTACAGCTGTTGCAAAAGCTTCATCCTGCACAACACCTGTCTGAAACATGTCATCATTGGCAGCCATTTTACACCCGGGCTTTTCCAACCTAACTATAGGTCACAATACAGTAACACATCGACACACGAATAGCAGACCTGAACACCTGGCACTGGCAGGCCATGTTTCACAGGCATGTGACATTAGATGTGACCGGGCCCACATGGTACACCACTGTGCTGCATTTCACGGCTGAATAGGTTCTCAATAACAACGATATGACCTACATGCAGGCTGTGTTATTTGACTTTCACCATCTCCAGTCGCTCGTTGTAAACAAGCAGTTTTCAAAGTTAAAAAAAAAAAAAAAAACATTTACAATTTATTGACTGAACTAAAGTGTTGAAAATGGCGTGCTCACAACGATGATGCCCTGTTAATGGTTGAACAAACATGGGATATTGGGTGTGTCCTGAAAAGTGATGATTTTGAAGGTATGGGAATTCTGTCTGACGCTCGGCCAGCAAATTGATGTTAAACTTTAATTCCAACACACAAAAAGCCCTGACATAGCACATGTGCAACGGCAACCTTGAGTCCAAGTGTTGTGAGTGACTTCTACATGAGACTGTATTAATTTGTTGTGTTAAGACGTAGATGCGTCGCTCTGTGGCACCCGACTGTTTTGTTTTGTTTTTTTATGGATCTTTAATATCTTTTTGGGGTCTTTAATTCCACAACATTCATTACCGTAATTATTCCTTGTTCCGAATAATACACAAAGAGCTCTTCATGTAAGCGCTGACTGAAACATTTTGGTAACATGGACGCCAAGTTAAACAGCAACCATAAGCAACTGGAGATCCATCTCCCAGCTAAAAAAAAATGGTGACAAACAGAGCTGTGAGAACATTTCTCAATTCATCAAAAAGGTCAGACAAAAGCGAGCCATCGCGAGCAGCGACTCTGTGGACCAAAGCCCGAAACAACACTGAGGCTCTGTGTAACGCAGGCAAACAATCTGGACAAGCAGTGCAAGATTTGTAGATGTAAACAATAGGAGGATGTACATGTCACTGCACAGATTGAGCAATAACTCAAGTGTGTGCGCGAAATAATGAAGCTCAGGAGACTCTTGACATCAAAATGGTAGTGCAGGGCATCCTTGGGGCATCCTAAAGCCACACAAATTGCAGTTGTTCCTTTCTTTCTTTCCAATATCTATTTTAAATACAATGCAGAGTACTGATTTACGATCCTATACTCATTTACTGTACTATAATCATTATTGTGCAGTTTGGGGAATTTACGTCCTGGCTTAAAGAGTGTGTCTGGGAAACATGGTGGCCTTGTGGTTAGCATTTGACAGTAGTCAAACTCAAGACTTTAAAGACTCTCATCCATAGGTGTGTTAATGCGAGTGTGAACGGTTGTTTGTTGATATTTTGATGTGTCCTGGCAACCTGTGGAGAATGTAACTCGCTTCTCGCCTCAACACTCGCTTCTCGTCCCAAAGTGAGTTGGGGATGAGCTCCAGTAGGGGGAAAAAAAAGGGACGGAGAGAGATTGTCTGACTTCCAGTTGCTGGCAGTTCTATGTTGGGGTATCGTGTGTGTGTGCCATTGTTTTCATTGGCATAGGAGGCAGGAAAGATTGAACTTTACCTAGCAACAAGTGGCAAATGTGACATTGTTATGTCAGGCACGGAGCAGAGCATTTCCACTCCACCCGAATGAAAAACCATTAACTCACGTCGTCATCCGAAGAAGGGGTTCGAAGCGTGACCACCGATGGCGCGACGACAGGTCTGTCCTGGCCGAGGGCTGGCATGGCGACCACGCTGCCAGGAACAGCCTGGGGGGTTTTGATCTGTAGTAACTGGCTCGGTTGTGACAGCCTGATGGGCTGGCCTAAAAAAAAAAAAAAAAAGAGAGAGAGGCAACACACAGATTACAATAAAGTTGTTTAGGAAGCCATTTAAAGATAACACATTTGAGTCAATATCATCGTATGGTGCCTCTGAGCCTTCCTCATCTCACACACACAAAAAAAAAAAGTGGCTTTGAACTTCATAATCATTGTATTAAGTCAATGTTATGCTCATAGAAATGACTATTGGTCAAGTACGCGCACTTGTTATTTTATAATAAATATGTAATAATAAATTACTTAGGGGCAAACTGAGAAATATGTGAACTTGCTGATAAGGTGGACAACTACTGGATGTACATTTTTGGCTAGTATCATTTTACGAACACACGGTGGGCCTCACTGAGTGCATTGAAGAAGTTTCTTATCGGGGAAGCTAACCCATATCGGCAGGACAGACAGCGATTTCACGGATATGTGCAAAATGTTCAATATGATTATGAAAATAGAATCTGCATGATCAAAATGACTCATTTTATCAAATAACTTCTTGCGCATAGTAAAATCATGTGAAATATTGTGTGAGATATCCTTTCAGTAGCAATTTGTCATGTCATATCGCAAACAAAATGTGTAAAGATAAATGATAACATTAGCAGGAAGTAGTATCAGTGTTCTGTTTAAAGAGCGTCTGGCTACAGATGGCACAGAATCTCCCTCATCACTGGTGACCTCCGCTAACCCCTCGCCTTTTAACGGCCCTTACTATGTTTACAGGTGGAGAAGTTTACTATCTTTGATCAGTTTTTTTTTCCTTTACTTTCACATTCCAAGTGGAGAGACGTCTTAGTTCATGTGGAGGGAGGTGGAGAAGTTTACTATCTTTGATCAGTTTTTTTCTCTTTACTTTCACATTCCAAGTGGAAAGACGTCTTAGTTCATGTGGAGGAGTGCTCATAAATGTGCACGTGTGGCCACGTTTGAAAAACACAGCTTACATCTGATATGGGGATATGCCAGCAATAGCACAAAAGAACCGAAAGCACATTAAAGCAGGAGATAGCACAAAAGAAACTCTTTTGACTTCCATGAATCATTACCGGAGACTTTTTAAATACAAAACAGCCCATCTGAGCTAATCAACTTAGCCAACTCGGCTAATTAGTGTGTGTGTTGAGCCAAACACTTCAAAATTAGAGCGATGAATATAAAAAACCTCAAGAGACCAATTTGTTCTTTGTAAAAAGTACATTACGGCCCAGGCCAGACTACAAAATGAAAACATTACTGTCATGATGCAAATAAAATAGCTCAATTTTGTGAATAATCAGGAGACCGTGCTCAAACAAAGAACAGGAAACTTCAGACTTTGGTCTCAGGTGCAAAGATTCGATGTATCAAACTTGGCCATCTGTAGCCTCAGCTTGTATCCAAGTGGACGGCAGAGGAGCCAAGTTCAAATTCAAGGCAAGAAGAGTTCAGCAGTGACGCCGCCCACTTGGATGATCACTATTTACATTGGCCTAGGTGTTAAAGATATAACACATCGTGGACCAGCCTGGTCACGCAGAAGCGGGAAAAGCATTGAAAACGGAGAAAGTGGGGTTCAACGTCCATTTTTTGTACCATTTGTCATCATTAGGATCACCGATGAGCTGGAACATATCCCAGCTGCCTTTGGGTGATTGGTGGGCGACACCCTTGGACTGGTCACCAGCCACTCATATGGCACATATAAACAATGTCAAGTAATAATAATGAGTGCCAGATGACCCAAGCACTGTCAGAATTATTTTAAAGTTAATTATTTGATTTGATCATTTAGAATGGTACACTTGCAACTGTTAGCCAACAGTACCCTCTGTTGGTTACCTGATAAAAAAATTATGCTCATGTGGGAAAAAAATAATGCAATGAAACAGTTTTGGTTTTCCTATTGACAAAATTAAACACAAGTCGATGAACACAGCAATAGATGTGGCTTTCCAAATGATAAACACACTTGTGTGATGCTCCTACCTGGAGAGGGCGCTGGCTGGATGCTGATCGGGGCTGCTTTAACCACAGGCAGCATGGCGGTCTGCAGGGGGTGGATGATGATTGTCTTGGGCTGCAGGGGAGCGGCTGCGTGAGCCAAGGGCACAGCTGCAATCACCGGTTTGGGCTGGATGGAAACTTTGGCGCTCATCTGAATGGGCCTGTTGTTTTGCTGCGCTGTTTTGGCTGCGTTGGTGTGTGCCCGGGAAGGAAATAAAAGGACATGACTGGTATTATTTATGCTGTGACGTTATACTGTTAAGACTGTGGTTTTTGTTAATGTGGTTTCACCATTATAACTACCCCCTAAAGGCAACTATAACAACAATGCGGCCTGTGAGGAAATCATGATGGACATCCCCCGACTTTTGACTATATGTTGCACTACATGTGCGGTGAAGCAAAACAAACAAAACATAGGCCACCACACATTAACAGACAGTGCAGTGGTTTCCCTGACCAAGGGGGTTCCCTAACACTGTTTTCATATCGTCACCACTGATATCACTCATGCAGAAGCACATATACAACCAAATGCATCTGATTTGAGAGTTGTTCACCTCGTGCTGTCTGGCTCGTCCTCTTTGGTGCTTTCTTTGCCAGCGGAGTGATTTTGGAGAACCCGCTGGACTCGGAGCACACCGACAACGGCGAGGACTGCGACTGCGGAGAGAAGGCCTCATCCTGCAGGGGGAATGTGCCTTCAGTATCTGGAATGAGGGCAATCTCCTGCATGCCTTATTTTGAGTTCATTGATAAACAAAAATGTATTTACAGAGGTACTTTGTCTTACCAGTTGTTTAGTTTAGTTTGGAGACATTGCTTGTTCTTGCTTTGCACTGGTGTGCAAAATCTTATGAGCAAGATTCACATGCGCAGATGGTTGAGTGAAATGTGTGTGTGTGCGTGTGTGTGTGTGTGTGTGTGTGTGTGTGTGTGTGTGTGTGTGTGTGTCCGTCTTGATCACGGAATGAAATGAACTTGTTAGTAAAGTACTACTGTTATAAAAAGGAATTCTTCAGTTGCATTAATAAACGCCCTCAGTCACTATTAAGAGGAAAGCTTGACTTGCTTTGATAATTTACGAGTCATGTGACAACAGATTATAATGAATAAAATGATGCCAAATTTTACAAATGGCGCAAAAAGACAAATCCCTTGGGCTCAAATTTCAAAATTGTGTTGTTTATTCATTCTAGTAATAGTGTACCGCGAAAGTGCAATATTTTTAATCATTACAATTCAGAATTGTAGTCACGCTTCTTTTACTACATTAGTCACAACTTTATCATCATTGTCAGTACCAATTTGTTGATTGGCTGTGGGGGAAAAAAAACAAACACGAAAAAAAAAAAAAACACACCCACTGCCTTATATCAAGACGTCCATGTGACAAGTTCTTTGACCCTGTAAAAGTTCATTTTCTCTCTCTCTCTCTCCTGCATTCCAGTTACCATTAATAAAGTCAATAACTTGGCACTAGGAAAGCCTGTCTTTCTTGTGACATTGTGTGAAAACATCAGCCTTTTAGATTATGCTAATTTGATTAAACCTGTCAAGACGGTTTGTATTAAATGAAAGAATGGAGGCAACAACCATGACATGGACAATAAACATTAAATTGACAAGGTGTTTGCCTCTTTTGCTAATAAGTGACTCTCAGGAGTGAAGCGTGTCCAGTCGGTATCTGTCAGCCGCGAGCATCTGTCCATGTTTTGTTACCATCTGGATTCGTGCATGCATGTAAATCGTACGGAAAGGGCGGGGTTGCATTGGAAATACAAGTAAAAAGGAGAAAACTGTGAAGGTGTGTAGTCACTGGACTTACGTGTGAGGAATACGGGGACTGCGCCTCCACAGCTGTGGGGGAAGGGATGGAGCTCAGGGTGTGAGCAGGTGACAGAGAGTGCACGCTCACCTCACCGTCTGGAAGTACAAGGACAAAGACACACAGGACATTATGTTAAACAACGCATGTGTGTGTTCTTCGTTTAGGCTTCACTTCTAGGCATTTAGTTTAACAAGTCAGACTTCAAGGACAAACAGTACATGTAATAAAATCGAGATTTGGCTGCATCCGAGTTGTACCTGTGCAGGTGGTGCTTGTGTGGTAGCTGTCAGTCCATGCAGGTATGGGAATATCAAAGTCAAGGTCTGGACCTCCGCATGTCTGAAACACCAAAAAGACACATTTCTTATGGCAAAGCGTTCCACTTGTAGGCCTATTGTTCACTAAAATGGAGAGAAATCATACTGTTCTGTCATATTATTGAGCATGCCAAAAAGAAATTTGCAGATACAATTTATTAAAGGATGTATTTTCATACTTTTGTGTGTCTTAATATAATTGCAGTTCAACATTGGGAATGCGATTTTACAAGCTGTTAAATTTTTTTCAAGGTCCTCTTCTGAGGTGTTATTTAACACAAGTAATAAATTAATCTGTACTGCAATAAACAATATTAGATTTATTATCCATTGTGTTGTGGTCTAATAAGTGAGGCTAAAATAAAGGCCAATGAGTTTATTTATCTACTTCAGTCGAGTTGTTAACACTTTGACTTACAGTCTTCGGCATTAACAACAACTTCACACAGCCATTAATCAGAGAATACAAAAAAAAATCTGGGGCTTTATCATTTCAAGGAGATCGCTGCCGCCACCTAGTGGTAGAAAGCCTGAAGTTCACTTGAATGCCAATTTTGTGCTTGCAAGAAAAAGGAAAAAAAAAAATCAATCTAGTGACAGCTCCTAACGAAAAAAAAAAAAAATTTCTAATTGGGGTACTCATACGTTAAGGTACCACTGTAATGCCAAAAGTCACACAGTTGGTAAATGCTGACCCAAATTAGTCGTATTCACCTTTGGCTGTTATGAAGCTTCATTGTTCACACTCCGTTCTTTTGAAATTTCAATTTGAAGTCAAACTTTACTCACATAGTCTGCATTCTCAAGGACCTTGAGCAAATCGTCTGCATCCCCCAGGGAGTCAAGTTCATCAAAAAGGCTGATGTCTGGAGGAAGAAAAAAAGCAAGAGTTTAAAAGGTTGAATAAAAGAGAAACGTGAATCTGACACACAAGCTAGTCGGACAATATTTTTCTTTTTAATTGTGCAAATGCTAATGGACCGGTTGAACTACTACTGTTGCCTTCCAAAAACCAAATAAAACAGATTAATGGTTCTTAAACTTTAGTGCCAAATTAAGGACCATTGAAAAGGAAAATACTTGCCAAGTACCATCATCAAGGTTTACTTATTTGCCAAAAACTAGACAGATTTTATTCTTAAAATGTGTATTGTTACGTGCCATTGTAAAATTATGGAGTTTTCATAACATAATAACATAAGCACTGCTATAATATAAACGAAGGTTGTTTTTTAAGTACTTAAAAGATTCGTTTAAAATGTATTGCACATAAATAAATGGAAATGGATAAAAGCAAGGACACGTAACGCCTACGTAATGGGCATAATTAACTGGTATCTGGTAAATGCTTTATGAGTATTGCGTATAACAAGATGATGTTGCCACAACCTCTAGCCTTGATGGTAGTTGAATTCCATTGCCAAGTGTACTATTATAACTGTGCATTAATTGGATTTAGTGTACATAAATGTCTATTAGTTTGACAGTATCCTATCAAGAACATTTTAGTCGCAATCTAAATTACATACTTTTTCATCATAACGTAAGAATTTGATTGCTGGAACCAACTTGCTTGTTATTGCTTTCGAACACAAGCTATTACATCATCGCGTCAATTCCAGTTAGCTAACGCTAACTCGTGCTGGAACAAGGAGCAAGGTACACCACCACCTTTGTGTCAACACATGACACATTAATTCTAAATTATATTAAATATTATCAAACGCTATGACGTAGCACATGTTGATTTGTTTTATGATTTTCACAAGCGACACTTTTTATCTGTGCCTAAGAAGGTTTAGAAAAACTTACCCCATTCGCCTCCCTGGTCGATGGAGAAGCCCATATCCGGGTTCATCGTGAAACAACGTTGATGGTTATCGAAATCTAACGTTAAACTGGACGACATTTTCCTTCAAATTCATTGGTAAGTTTAATGTCAAAAATTGAATCGCGCTGGTATCGAAACGTGTACATCCACCGAAACTGACCGGAAAGAATGTATTTTCATGACGTAACAAATACACATCTTCCTTAGAGACATGACGGGATGCATGCAGGGCCAAAATTCATTCAAGGCCGGTCTCGCCGCTTTGGAGCGCTTTGGCCACTAAGCGGCGGGATGGCACTAAACAATGAAGGTTAACAAACGGCATTTGTCAAGAAATTCCTTTCCTTATTTCATAAAATGAAAAGGCAGGTCAAACAATGTCCAAGAAACGAATTTTTAAAACAAACGGAATGAAAAAATAAATCAAACAACAGCATAAAGCACATGTGTTTAAACAAGTATGTTGTTCATTATTTATTTTTAAAGTTAAACTACACTTTCTTAGAATGATGTTCCATTGCTTCGTGGTTGTGATGAGTAACAAATTCCCACATGTCCATACCCTATATAGAAAAATTCTTGTTCAAATTGACTAACAAGAGAGGTGATTAAAAAAAAAAGACAGCTTAAGACGATGTGATTGACAACTGTCCTACCAATTGTAAAGGTTGTGAGAAGATTCCAAAGCAGCCTTGTCTCGGTTTGGAAGTTGGTGTGGATAAAACGGAAGAATGCCAACAAATCTTCGACTTCACACTGCTGATGTGCCACTTGTGGTTTGAATTAAGAGTCTCGACAGGGAGCATCTGGCCTATAAAGTCACGAAATATAGATGACTGTCTGCCACAAATGCAGATGGAAAAACGAAACATTCAAATCCAAACCAACGACACTAGAGTAAAATTTAATCCAATGGAAGGTTGCTTGCTTCAATTGTTCCAGCACTGTTCTACACCTTCTGTAGAGTTAAGATTTTGATGAGTGTCCACTAAAGAGCTAAATTTGTCAGGATATTTTAGCCGTCCTGCGTCGATTTATGTCACTCCAATAATCAGGCCCGGTCCTAGAGTCGGTTTCGGCAAGGGGGGTCACATGTAAGATGTCATTCAGTGCACCTTTGATCATTTTTCCATCAACAATGAACTAAATAATCCATCTCTTGTACCAAAACATGCAAAAGAATTCATATTGTAATACTAAACAATCCCAAATTTCACACTGACATTTGTGAGTACATCAAGACAAGATTATTTTGTGTGATTTTTTTGTTTGGTAAAGTACAGAGGGACAACTTTTCAATAAAAAAAAAACGTGCCTTGGCTAAATAAAGATTGGAAAACACTGCGTCAAGGTGTGTTAAAAATCTGAAGCAGGTGTACACCCGCGCTAATCCTTAGTGAACATTTCAGGTCGCGGAGAGATTAACCTGAGGTGGTCTGTTTGACTTCGCACTGGATTGGATGTTGTCCGCTGCATTTTGAGAGCTCAAGAGATCATCTTGTTTGATTTGTAATGGCGCAGGAAGCACTCGTTAAGAGTAAGCCATCTGCCAGAAGTCTTGTAAGAGCACTTCGAACATGGATACCCAAGATATTCAGAAAGTTCATCGGGAATTCATATTATCGCACTAACAATGCACATTTCTACAATAAATAATGGTAGAAATGTGCGACAGTCGTAAACTTAACATCACATAAAAACTAAACGTAGTTGCTTTAAGGATGTACATTCCTTTTTGTATTATTGCAGTTCATTTATTGCAGTTTTTGGCAATGAGCCGCCAGGATGGCAACATAGGGTTTGGAATGACTGAGTATTTTATGATATCTTATATTATCTTTCCAACTATAATGTCAGCCCCATCTGTCTGGTTACTCCTTTGCCTTTATCTTCTGTCATTGATTTAATATTTTCTAATGTTGAAGCATATTCATGCAATATATAGCATTGGCAAACGCTGAGATGCACATTACATGAAAAGGTCAAAAGTGTCATCAAGTATTTGAAGGTTGAGAAGCCATAATATTGATATTTGACGCTTTTGTAGTGATACTCGGCTGGACTATAAGAATAAAATGATTCCATACATCACAATATCAATATTTTGTCCCGCCGGCGTAAATTTATCGTACAATTGTCTGCCTGCAAGATGGCGTTCTCATTCTTTTTGATAGTGCGCACGTGCCTGATTTAAGCTGGTGTGGTAACGGCTTGCACGATGGCGTGCGGTTGGGGGCAGTAGGAAGGGGTCTTTGCCATATTGATTGTGTGTAAAGCCTCTCATATGCAGACATGGACAACGGATTATCAGGTTAATCCAATACAGAGCGCTTTAATAGGTTAAGACTGCGGCACGATATCTCTCCTGCTTTTTGTCTGAGGTGATCCTGTTATGATTACCATTTAATTAAGAGGTAGGTTCATATTATGTCGAGTGTTTTACTCACATTTAAATATTTGAATGTGAAGAGAGACATAAATTGGACAGCAGGAACAGCACTCAGTGTAACGCACTGTAATTCTGCATCACTTCATATTACAGAGTCAAGCCCCCATTAAAACATTTTGGAAATGGGGGTGGGGAAACACGAGAACTCCACACAGCAATTTTAGAACTCGGATTCAAACCCGCAACCTAGAACCATCAGTTAGATGCGCTAAGCACTCGCCCACTGTGCCACTCGATGTCATGCACTATGGCCAAATTGTACAATACTTGCGATTCCATTGTACTTTTTAATCCTAGCGTGTCCATGCACTGGAAATTGCATTCATATGTAATTAAAAAAAAAAAAAAGAACAATCAATCGCAACATTGCAATCATTATGGTAAGCAAATGCCCATTAACCACTACTTCTTAAGTCATGCCGACTCTCTGCCAAAGCCTACATGCCTCACAAGTTGTTTATTCGCAGGAAATCACATTACCGTCAGCGTATAGGTGGTTGCATTTTCTATTTGCCTTTCAGTAAGTGTAGTCATGATGGCTGGCGACGATAATACTCGCACATGTAGACAATGTCAGTTTCTATGCAACAAAAGGAAAATGCAGGTCGCGGGGTGACATCAGTTGAGAAACTCAGCTGTAGACCACAAGCTAGCGTTGCCTGAATCAACAGCATCTCGGCTGATTCCAACCAAGGAACGCGATTCTGGTGTTTTCCTCAGATATAAACAACAAACATTCCACAGAATCATCAGGCCACGCAAGCTAGCACATTTTCAGTGAACTGCTGTGTCAGGGAAAAGAGTAACAAAACAGAAACCCCCTTGGTGGATAAAAAAAGCGAGTTCGGACCACATTTCATCTTTTGTGTCTCAGATTGATGACCTTTGAGATGGATGATGCTCCGCTGCGCTGTGTTGCATTGTCTTATGCAGGCCCAACACAAAGAGGGTAGAACACTTATCATCTCAGGCGTATGTATGGAACTGGGAGGAGGGGTTGTCACAGAAGTGAAGGGGTGGGGTTCCCTCTGATAAAATGTAATGGAGATGGCCTAATGAGAGCACAGGCAGATGGAGGGTGCCCCCCTCCTGTGACAACAACAGCCTCAACCTCCATCCCGAAGCTGGAAAAACATGTGTTTATTCGGATGCGCCTTCAGTACTCTCCATATATATATTTTTTATGTGGTGATACATGGCTGTGCATATCGTTACTCAGTTTTCATTTGATGGCCTTCCATAGCGGTGAGTTGCTAGCAGGCGGCTCACCAGGTTTGTAGACCTCGGGTTGGGATTAGTGTTTGAGAGGACATTGTTTGGTGGGAATGGTGCTGTGAATACAAAGGGATTAGTGCAGAAGGTTGCTTCATTGACTGTGTTTTGTTTGTGTTTGTGTGTGTGTGTTGGTGAATGGTGGTAGCATGCTGAAGTTGATGAATGCACCGGAGAACCTCCAAAATGATTCAAATGAAGCCCAAGGTAAAATAAGCTTCATAAAAGGTTGGTATGTAACACATCCAAAAATTCGAATACCTAACAATCAGCTGCCATAATGGTCCAGAGAAGGCATAGCAAAAAAGCCCTCTGAAATCATCTCAATGCCTTGAACCATGTGCCACCATTAGGTCCACACAAAGAACAGTCTGACAAATGAGCACTTTATGTCCCTCTTTGACTTTAATGAATTTATACGTTATCTGGCCCCTAATGGAGGCCGTGGCAGAGGGGCTGGCGCAAGGCCATAACAAATGAAAAGCTCTGATTAGCGCAGAATGAGACGAGAAGGAAAAAAAAATGCCATTCATCTTGGTTAGCATCCCTCGTGAGCTCTTTTATGGTTGCTGTTACAAGGACGGTGGAACCAGGGGTGCCGGTCCCATTAGTGGGGCAGCTGAGTGGTCAGCGGCCCCGGCGTTGACGGAACGTCTGGTCCACTCGCGCAGTTCAAGTCAGTGAATGGCTCAGTGCAGTTTGACTCCTGAATAACCTTCGGAGGTACCGGGAGCTTCACCCCTACATGACCCCGCTCTGTGGAGAGGGGTGTGCATGTGTGTGTGTGTGTGTGTGTGTGTGTGTTGTGTGTGTGTGTGTGTGTGTGTGTGTATGGGAGGTTGGGGGGTCTACTCCACAGGGATGGAGAGGGGGGGGGCACCACCCACTCTTAGTCTCACACTAGCAACAGGTAAACATGAGAAGGGCTGAAGTAAACATCTTGAATATGCAAATGTTAAGAATCATCCATGATTTAAATACAGCACTGTGTATCGTGTTTCCATATGCAAATTCAAGATAATACACACACAATGTTGATGGATTAATGGATGTATAGAAAACTAGATCAATCTGATGATGATTATCTTCACTTTGTTTCATCCTTTACTGTTTTGCAAATGTCAATTCTGATCTGAGAGAGGTACCTGAGAAAAATTGTAAAATGGTTGTAGGTAAGACCTGATTCCCATTGAACATAAGCTTCAATGTGATTGGTTAATTTTGGAAACAGATCTATACTCCCAGGTACACAGGGTGTGCACAAACAGATTTTTTTTCTTACTTCCCCTCTCAAAAAATATTTCATTTGATTTTATTTTTCAATTGAATTGTACAGGTTGTAGGTCACATTAAAGCCACCTATCGAGTTTGCTAGTTAGCTAAAAAGTCAATTTTTTTTTACTGTATATCATAAAAACATGGTACGTAAACAGGGGTGTGTAGACATTTTATATCCACTGGAGAGCAA